AAGTGAACTGAAGCATCTGTGTCAGTGTTTATGTATAATTTTCTGTATTAAAAGCTTGTCAAACTTGCCATTAAATCTCCGAGGCCCACCTGACTTCTTGCTCTGGTCTTTCTCCATGCGCTCTAGGCTCTCCAGCAGGTAGTCCACCTTGTGTTTGATCTGTGTCAACTCTCTCTTGATGGTCTGCAGATCATCTACCTTCACCGCTGGAGGAGAGGCAGTACAAAAAAAGCCATTACAACATTGATGTGTGTGAGACATATTTGAGCCTTAGAGATAATGCTGGTACATACCGGAGCGGGAGGTCCTCTGGGTGGTCTTGGAGGAGGAGGAGAAGCTGGTTTTGGTTCGCCGGCTGCCTCCGCCGCTCACACTGACCCTCGGACGCTTTGAGGGGATGATGGCCCGGGACAGGGGGGGAGGGGGAGGAGGAGGCACCCGGGACTGGTAGGAGTACATCCTGAAACACAGAGGAGAAATAATTAAAAAGTTGCAAAAAAATGCAAAAGTGGATCTGCTTCAATTTAAAAAATGTCCCAATATTTCTGTTCCATTGTGCATGTTATCTTAATTGTGTTATATATTGTATTTGCATGTTTAAAAATAAAACAAAAGGACCACACAGAGAGTAATAATAAACAGGTGCAGGTGAGATAGAAACCTACTAAGGGCTTAGGTTGAAACCGAATAAGAAAAATAAATGACTCAAAAATATATTTTACATTATAGCAGCTTACCTATCGTAGTAATCTCTTTGAAAGTCATAGTCCAAATCTCCAGAGGAACTGTGGAGAGGGCAGAGTCAGAGAAGAATGATTAACTACAGTATTCATTGTTGACATGAAACAATACTTTCCGATAAGGAAGTCTGGAGGACTGCAGAGTTTCTGTAACATGTTGTTGAATAACGTGGAAACACACCTGTACATGTCTCCTGCAGAGCGCTTCACTGTCTTCGATCTGTGGGGTTTGGGCTCACCGGCCAGGTTGATGTCTGAGGTGGGAAAAAGAGAAGTAAGGAGTTGCCAAAGTAAGATGATACTGGTTGTTCACCTGATGGTTTTTTACTTTATTTTGAAAGGCCTCAGCTGTTTAGACCAAAAACAGCTGGTTTTCTTGGTTTTACTTATTATGTATTGAAATGAGCAGGTATAGCAAATATACGTAAAAGGATTACAGGCTCAAATCCCCAGTATTTACATATTTCAGGATAAATATTTTGGATATTGAAACTATTCTTTTATCATTTAAAACAAATTACGATTATTTTTGTCATTTGTTCTCAGAAAGAAAGTCCAGGACTGATTTCAAGGCTCATTACTGGGCCCACTGACTTTCTATCTCCATCGCTGCAGTTCTTTGTCACCCATCAACCCCTCCAGCTCACCTAGGACCTGTCCCACGATCATGCGGCCGTCCTCGCTGACCACGGCGTTGCGTGCGTTCCTCTCATTGGCGTACTGGACGAAGGCGTAGCCCTTGTGGATGGAGCAGCCCACCACCTTGCCGTACTTGGAGAAGATGGCCTCCACGTCGGCCTTGGTGACCAGCAGCGTGTTGAGGTTGCCGATGAAGACGCGAGAGTTCAGGGAGCGAGGGTCAGTCTTGTTTGTCACATTGCTACTGGCCATCGGGCTTGGGGTGGGGGGGGGACAAAGGTAGGCGAAAAAAGAAAAGAAAAAAGGAGAGAACAAGGAGCCGTGAGATTTTGCGTTATACATTGTAGATTATCTCTGCAATAAGGTCAATGAGATTTTTGACCTTGTGAAGCTCTTTAACAATGGGCCTTTAATCACAGTTTCTTACGTATTGCATGTTTAAGTGAATGAAAGTCTGCAGAAGTAGATTGTCATTTCAATATTATTAAAATATAAACATTTTTTAAATCAATATTTTCCAGAGACATCTTCATATTGCTGGTGGTTTTTGTACAACATATAGTAAAAAAAACAAAGTCTATAAAATCTAGAGGTGTGTTCGAGAATAAAAGCATTTTGTAACATTTAAGAAGCTAGATTTTTTTAGGAAGGCCTTTTAGCATGTATGTAATTAAATAATATAAATATTTAATTTCTGTCATTGATTGATAATTTCATCCTAATGACGTTATACTGTATGCTCATTTACTGACATTACTACATGTATCAATTTAAACTTATGGTAACAAAAAAGTAATGCAATCATTCATAAACACATGGCAAATTCAACGTTGTACCTCCTACTGAACATGTCAACGGGGATGCTTTTAACATATCATTTACACACACTAAATCTGTGCAAAGGGAGCATCTAGAGGTAGATGTGAGACAGCAGAACAGAGAACAGTGTGATGGGGTCATGAGGCAACCAGCACTCACTCCATCATGTCTGTACACGGGCTGCTGGAGGTCTGCCTTCCTGTGTGACTCTGTTGGAGAGAAGAGGGTTGTCGAGGAACTTTGAGAAACAGTGACTGTGGGGTTACATCTACTACACCTCCAAAAAGTTGCGTTTTCTTAGAGTTTTCTCAAAGCTTTTAACTGGAAGAGGGCTGCTCAGGAGGTGGTAGTGAACTTTTTTCTTTTTTTTTTTTAAAGCAGGTGGCTATAAACCTGTGGGTTACATTTGTTATGACGAAACAAAGTATTGCAGTGAGAAAGCTGTATTTTGCTGTATTTGTGAAAACTGATAACTTCCTTGTTCTGTTTATCTACGTGAGGTAACACTCTACAGTAAACACCACTTTAATGAAGCTCATAATGTCACACACTACAGCTATCCAGGTTATTGGGCTTTTTACGGGCTGTGATTATAGGGATCACAGAAAAATCTGATTATACATAATATCACCATACATGATAAATACAAATATCCTGGTAACTGCATGATATATGTACAGACATCTAAACTAACTATGCTTTGATTTAGACAGCAGGGAAGCACATGGGGAAACATACTATGACTTTCTAAAAGTGTTACTGCTGTTGCAAACCCTCAAAAGTTATGTAACATTGCAGGGTCGGAGGGGAATCATACTGACAAATACATTACTACATTGACTGAAAGATAACTACATTCAATGTTTGTTTTATTGAAACTACTGTCTATGAGATGAAAAATGAAACACTCCGTAGCCTAGCATTATGATAATCTATCATAATTTGTGATTTCTGATGCAAACATTTCAGAATACATGGAGATTTCCTGCTTTTCTCTGTTTGGTATCATATTGAATTGAATATATTGGAGTTTTAGGCTACTAAAATGTTTAAAATAAAATATGTAACACTAATTTCAAAGATGTTACCGCCCAATTTCTTACTGTAAGGTGTTTGCTATTGTGTCAAAGCCTTGTATGGTAGAAAGGACATTCTTCACTTTTAGGAAATTGCAAAGCTTTGTGGTATTATCATCAAGCATTAGAACATTTGTATACATTTGAAGCCAATGCATTAGAGCACTTGGTTTGACATATCGAAACGTACTTGTAGAAATGTTTTGCTTTTTGAGTCAGTTTCTTCAAGGTTAAATGCACTTTTTGTAAGTCACTTTGGATAAAAAGCATCAGCTAAATGAAATGTACATGTCAATCAATGTAATGTAACACGAGTAAACACTGGCTTTGCCCTATTTTGGTGTCCATCTTGTTTTTTGCTAATTCCCCATCAACCGCACACATTTCATGTAATTATCACCCACTTCAGCCATGTCTCACCTGCCAAATCCCCACTCTGCTGCCAGCTGAGCTCAACTGAACCCCAGCAGCGCTCCCTCTCTGGCCGCTAGCAGCTAGCAGGGATTACATGGTGAGCAGCCGGCTCTCTGGCCAAGGCTTAATGCTCTGCTCTCCTCTACATGATCCGGCCAGGGTGTTTCTATCGCTTGGCAAGCTGACAGTCGCTACAACACCGGGTGTGTTTAGGACGAGGAGGGGGAGGGCTATCACAGGCTGCTTAGTGTTTCTAAATCTTTGTGGCATGTTGGGGTTCAAAGGGAATATCCAGGGTTTATATACATGCAAATGATTTTCATGACTGATGCCGAATAAAGCCAGTTAGCCTGTGTGAACGCATTCGTTGGAGAATTTTTGATTTATTCATAAACACACACTAGGTGGACAAATAACAAGATCATCTTACATGTTTAATATATGTATACTTTTGTAAATATAATATAACATATCATGGTTTTTGTTTGATATTATATATATATATTGATGATAATCCACTTTTCCTGATGGTGCAGTTCACTTTTTTGGAAACTTTACTCCATTACTCCATGCAACTGCAGGATTTTTTCTAAAAGTGAAAATGTCCATTCTTAATTGTCATTTTTTCCATTTCATGTCTGAAAATGTCTTGTTTTGTGAGTCTTCAACCCAAAATTATCAATTTAATATGATATACAACAGATCAATAAGGCAAGATTCATCCATATTTGAGGCTGAAAGCAGAGTTCACCAACTATTTTGCAGGAAAATTTGCTTTACGGATGAATTATACTGCTAACCAGTTTATTAGTTTTTTGTTTCAGCTCTACTTGCAACATTTTATGATTTGAAATATTTCTTTTGTTGACTACCTGTAAATGAGTCACAACAGATCACTATTCTTATTATCAATAATTTCCTGTATGTGTAAAACAAGCAGGGAGTCCATCAGTTATATCCCAAACTTATACTTAACAGAACAATATAAGCTTCATAGAAGTGGCGTTTGCTGCAGGGTTGAACAGGCTGAATGCTAACTGTTTGCCTCTCATATTAAGAGTTCATACATGGCATATTTACAGTTATAGCAGCAATAACTTTTCCTATCCTTTGCCTCATCTGGGCGTCATTGTGTGAAACCTCCTGAGATATATAATGTTGTGTCTTTAGTTTCATTTTGATCAGTGATGTGAGCGAGTGTTTGTGCTTGGACTGTGAAACACTGCAACTGCAGCGCTCATGTTTGAAGACAGACAAGACAATAAGAGAGAAAGCAGATTGTACAGAGGTGCATGGAGCTGTGTGTATTCTGTGTGCAAGAAAAATTATACAATCTTAACCGTTGACGTTATTGCACCTTAACACAATCTGTATTAGTTATTACTGTTATTTGTTAGTGATTCATTGTATTCAGAAGACATGCTTATTTTTACAGGTACAAACTTACTATCGAGGGTGATAATGATGACATCATTGTTATTATCAAGAGCAGGTATCTTTTTTTCTGTGTGGGTAATAGACCAGATTTGAATCCATCAAATGACATGCAAAAAAAGAGATTACATTACATAGCAAAGGCAGGATTATTTAGCCTTTGTCAGAGCCAGGGCTGGATTCAGGAGGAAGTGTTATTCAATATTAGCTCAAAATCTGGTCTCTTATCATCAACACGGTTATGCATTAGGTTATCATAAACTGGGGACATGTGGAAGCTTATCTATAAAGCAACTAGAGTCAAAAGCAGCTGATTTTATACTTTCACAGCACAAAAAAAAAAAAAACACTACATGCTACTTGCTCTAGGAAAATCCAAAAGGGGGAGAAATGGTCTGAATCACAAAGCGGTGAAAACAAAAGTGGAATTTTAAAAAAGTGATGCAAAAGTTGTGGTGAAAAAATAAAACCAAAAAAAAAAAGTTGAGACCAACTTACGATTTGCCGCTGTTCAAAAAAGAGGCTTCAAAAACTAAACAGGGAGAAACAAAAACGTAATATTAGAAAAGAGGCCATTCAAAAAAGTACCTTGAAGTATTATTTCCACAAGCAGGGAGGGGAAACTGGCGGGAAAAGTATGGAAATTATACAAATAAATAAAAAAAGATGTGCCAAATGTCAATGCCTACAGCACATAGAAAATAAAACAAAATTCTTCTAATTATGAACCTACAATTCACACCTGTATCCTCAATATAAAAATGTATCTGAAAGATCTTTCAAAGATTACTGCAGATTCTTTTCAAAAAAATTGCATGTTATAAAGATATTTCTGGAAAAGCTATCAGTCAAGAGATTTGCAGTCAAACCATTAAAAGACTGAACTTTAGTGGTAAGTATTCCATAAATAATAATCTGACGTTTATCATTATTAACAATGGTATTCTGGTGTTTAAATTACAATTCCTATTTTACTTAAAACATGTAACAACGTTTGAGCATTCTTTGCAAGCTTAGTTGATGGAAAGCATCTCTAGGAATTACCTTTATAATCTAGGCTACTTAATTAATTAATATCAACCTAACAATTGGGAAAATATCAGAAACTGGTGACATCAGTTAAGATAATTCAAGGCTGCCTTATGCCCTAATTATAGGGGCCCCAGGAAGGGTTAAACTACAGAACAGCGCCCCTGGAGACTGGAAGGACTCACACTCAAGGACACTTAAAAAGGACACAGTTGGGCTGGGGTGCAGTAGGGGGTTGAGGTACTACAGGGGTGTAAAATAGGGATCTTCAAGTTTAGGAGGCATCATAAACTGCAATTATAATCCAATAGTAAGCCTTTGTTGCAAAAATCTGATCATATTAAGTGGGGGGGAAAAAGAGCAATTTAGAGGCCTAATTTCAGCTCAATGCAGGCCCCTAACTACATCCAGGGCCTGAGCAAAAAAAACTGCTAAGAAATGCTTCTGCAAATACACTAAAATAAAAAAATTACCAAATGCACAAATTCTGCCACACCAAATGAACCACGGTGTTAATGTTCCTTTTAAAAAAACGCCCCAACTCGGCATTGAGGGAAAAAAACTGCTTGCCTGAAAAATAACATCACTCCTGAGAGGTTTCTCTGCAGAAAATACACTGCCGAAATCACAAAGAAAGGCACGAGTCACTGTCAACGAATGCATATCAAGTTAATGGTGGAGGCAAAACCCAAGACGAGATTAAAAAACCTTTTAAAAACATATTTCCAAGAAAAAGGGCGACCCGTTTTGCCAACTGTCCAGAAAAGACTGCAACAATTTCCCATCCTCGAGATTATGACCACACTCAAGATACACAACGACGCCACACAGCAGCACTGCAAAAAAAACGAGGCCTCGAAATGTTCGATAAAAACCAAAGCAAAAATCTTTTAGTGGTGGGAAGCTAATAAAACTAGTCTCTGCGCAGCTCAATATGCACAACACAAAATGTACGCCACTAAAAGCCAACACAGTCTCAGGAACACCAGCCCTGGAAAAAATGCATTAAAAATGAAAACAAAAAAGTCCCAAAGAGGTTCAGAGTCGAGAAAATTGTTTAAAAAAAATAGGGGAAAAAATGCTCTCGGTTAAAAATACTCACCAGGAGTTTAATACTAAAAATTAGTAAAATTCAACGCTGTTTTTACTTGGGTAGGTAAAGATCCGTTTACGGCTCTGCAGGCTGATAGTATCACCTTGAAACCAGTGGACACGAAATGGCGTCGACTCACACAGAGAACAGAGGAAGGGCACCGCCCACTACTGCGTCCTCGTCTTTGATTGGATAGTCACCCCACCCTGTGTGAGTATACTCTTCAGGGATTGGCTGATGCGCTTGCCAGTCCGGCCCACTAAAGAACACTTCATGAACTCGATTGATTTGAATGGCAATACATGAGCTCAAAGACAGTCCACTATTAACTGCATTCTGTAGATGACCACATGTGATTTTTTATTTTATAGGTTCATATCTTTTATTGTAGTTATTCCTTTTGCTGTAGCTTCCTTTATTTTACCCAAAGACATCATTTTTATTTTTAGCTGTTAGCTCCTCGTGTCCCTTGAATTAATGTTATATTGTTATGCTGAATTTGTTCAAAAGGTTTCACCGTCCGACCAGATTTATTATTATTATTATTATTATTAATAATAATATTATATCGAGCGCAAGACTCCCCTTGGTTTTTTTTTAGGTTTAAAAAGTTATTATCTATGTTTTTATTTATTTAACAGAGACAAAGATGCAGTATTCAGACAGGTACACATTTAAATATAATGTGACATTATGTACAATCCTGATATGCTGGACAGTTATACATTGAGCAGATTTTGTTTTTCGAGGCTTTATTTTTGTCAAAATGCTTACGTGAGAGCCCTTGTGTTTTTTAATCAGAATCAGAATTGGTTTTATTATCAAGTAGGTTAACACATACGAGGAATTTGCTTCGGTATAAATGGTGCATACAAAGACACAGAATGAATAAGTACTATGCATACACATTTCAAAACAGATTTTGCATAATTTCTTTAAAATGGATACTGTATTGAATGTGAAATTCTATGAACCAGACTGCTAGACAAAACTGCGTGGCAAAAAAAGTCACTTTTAACAACAATGTCATAAATAATAACAATAATTACAAACAACTTGGTTCCAACATAGCGACTGAACATCTCTAAAGTGTATCAGCAGGGTCACCACTTCATTTTCCGTGAGAATGGACCTGAGGAGTAAACAAAAGTGGGTTCAGCATGATACATTTCATAGATAAAGATGGTAAGAAACAAGAGTATTTGAAGTACCTGTGATGTCAGTGACCTTCCTGCGGTTTCGAGGCAAACTGGAATCCAGTCTCAGGTTGAAATCAGGTGTTTTCAGAACTTCCTCCAGCTTACACTGCTCTTCATTTTCCTGTTGGATCAACATACACCGGGTTAACAACAGTTGTGTAAAGTACTTTTACTCAAGTACTGTACTTAAGTTACATTTGATGCTACTTTATACTTCTACTCCACTACACTTACAAGGGAAATTATGTAATTTAACCCAACTACATTTATCACAACAGCTTTATTTTTAACAAAATGCATCTCTAAAAATTAAAATGGAGGACTAACTCTTTAACTCACAAAAGATAAAAAAATATAGTTTACAAAAGTCAATCAGAACTTTGTTTGCTACTTGATGCAGCAATATTATCTAGAAATGTCACATAAGTATATTCACAAATAAAGCACAATGATTACTTTTTTATACTTTAAGTACATTTAGCTGATAATACTTTTGTACTTTCACTTTAGTAAGAATTGGAATGCAGTATTTGGACAATAATACCAACGTAACTAAGTAAAGCATCTGAATACTTATTTCGCCACTGTTTGACAAAACCAGTTAGAAAAGTGCTTCACTTTTAAAGCATGTGAAATAAAAACCTCTGCTGGAGTTTGTTGGCGTTTCCTCCGGCCTACAGGCGTGTTAGGGCCTGGGCTCTCTGATCCACTTTTCTGGCATTCCCTCTCTCGCTGCATGAGGACGGCCTGTTTTGTACTCCTGTACTCCAAGGAAAAGTTGCTGATGGTTTTACAGAAGTCCTCCGCCTTCGTGTCTCTCACCATAGCTCGGGAGTAGCCCAGGAATAAGAGGAAAGAGTGGAACCTGAGGAACACAGAAGGTATTACTGAACAACAGCAGGAAGTAAAACAAATGACAGACTATGGCCTATGTCTAAAAAATGTACTCTTGGTTAATTAAGGTGAAATCTACAAATTCAAAGAGACAAATTGTCGTAAACTAAAATCCCAAATGTGTATCGTAGATGCTTTCTTTTCTGAAATGGGAGCAAACCAGCTCAAACTCTTATAATATATTTAGATTCCAAAATGCTCTTAGCAGCAAAAATGTTTTAAAAAATGTACTCGCAACACACCTGTTGATGACCCGCCGATGGACGGCCTTCAGGACCTTCAGCCTTTCCTCGCACTCTTTAAAAATCTTTGGCAGCCGGTGACGAAGCGAGCCCTCTGAGGCCAAAGCATCACTTCCTCCTCCTCTCTTCTTCTCATTTCTATCTTTTGTCTTCTTCTCTGCCTTGTCTAAAATCTTTAGCTGTTCCCATGATGCTTTGCACAGGGCCTCCAGCTGGGAGAGGTTGGACTGCACTAGGGAGTAGTCGAACTGCAGAGAAGAAGAAAGGGGAACGTTTGAGATACTTGCACTTGATTATTTCCATTTGATGCTACTTTGTACTTCTACCCCACTTCAAGTCAGAGGTAAATAGTGTACTTTTACTCAACTACATTTATGTAATACCTTTAGTTACTTTACAGATTTTGATAAATGATGTGAAATATAATCAACACTTAAATCAGACTTTCCACCTGGAGCAAATTCACAAACTACCCTGCAGTATGCAAAGTCATTCAAACTAGCTGCACCTTTACCAGCTTTGATAACACTTTAATGCATCAATAATTATAATCAAAACATATCATATATATATATAATTCTGAAATGGACCAATCTGCACAATGACTACTTTTACTTTTGGTACTTTAATTATATTTTGATGCTAATACTTTTGTACTTGAGCATTTGATTGCTGGTCTTTTACTTGGAACAGAGTATTCCTACACTGGCACTTCTCCCACCTCTGCACACAGGAGGTAAACACACACACATATAGGCCCAAATACGCACCTTGCCAGCTTTAGTAACAGCGGTGATGTCCGAGTAGAGGTCAGAGGATTGTGGGTAAAGTTGCAACAGTAACACACAGACGTGAAGCAGAAGAGGTTGGCGAGTGTACGTGTCCCTCACCTGGGAAAGCTTCCCCAGGTAACTCAGCTCAAAACCACGGGCCTTAGGATATAACAATAAGTTGTGAGAATTTTACAATTACAAGTGGATTAAAGACGAATAACAAAAATTGGAGCCACCCACCTTACATCCATTGAGAAAGTTACCAATCGCTAACACGGTTGCTAGAATACATCTGAAGGTCTGGCTGGCTGCAAGCTGCTCCATGGCCAACTTCAGATGGAAAAGAGGCTCAGCAACTTCCTGTCACGATAAGCACAATGTGATGATTCAGACAGAGTAGGTGGTGTGTTTTGTTTTACTGGATGCCTATTGGGATTAACATCGTCATGATGGTATTGTCGATGATGTATCAAGTGTAGGTGGCTCCATTGTAGCATGCCAATCTCTGAACCAATCGTCTATCATCGCAGTGACACAGGTAAGCATCAGGGTGGCAAAAGCCAATATTTCAACGGGTTCCAGCTTAGTCATCACTATCTGTGCCAAGGCGTGCTTTACTGTGTGCCAGTCATTTTTGATAGTCCAATAATCAACTTGAGATACAAGAATACAGTTTGCCTTAATACCCATTGGCTATTGTTTGACGACAATTAAGCATAGAATTGGCATAGATTGGGCAACTATACAACCAAATTATATCACACGTGGTCAGTTTGCTAGTTAATTATAAGCTAAATTGTTATCAAACAATGGCCACTGGGTAGCGAGATAGCATTTCGGCCAATGCCTTCTGCCGATTTTTTCTCCAAAATGTCTTTTAAGCTTAACTCAACCAAAGCCAACTCCAATGTGATTTGTCAACTGAACAAAACAGGATTGTTCGGTAACAAAAAAAGTGTTCAGATCCATAATTAGTTTAAAGAGAGTACATCATACTAACTACCTAGATCTTGATACATTTTCAAACATAAATGCAAGAGTGTTTTCATGATGGGGTTGAAAAACGAAATTTCTTTTAACAAAAAGCTTTTGTTTTGTACATTTGAAGTGTCAAAACAAATTTCTGTCCCATGCTCATTTACCCTTTCTAACGAGTCGTAGTCCAGCGCAAAGGCCCACAGCTGAAGCCTGGAGTTCAGATGTGGTATTTCCCCCAAAGTGAGCAGGCAGAGCTCGGCGGGGGCCAGAGGCGAGTGGGGGTTCAGGGCCTTGGCCTCCTTGATCAGACTCAGCTCCTCTTCTGTTGGAATTAGCTCTTTAAGCCGCTGTATCAGAAGGGAATGTGGAAAGAGATTAAACCATACTGCAGGACTATTCAGGACCCAGCTCAGGTTTCATTTAGCCGTTATAAATGTATGGTGAGGGCAACAAATAGCCTATCCAACTTTAAAGGTTAAACTAAATGCTGAAGCTCGAATTCTGCAGGACATGACCTCTGCTGTATTGTATACCTGAAGGTCGTCTCTGTCCAGCACACTGCTGTCCATGCTGTAGATGGCAGGGGGGAGGAGGCGGGAAGGGGGGAGGCTGCTCAGAGCGATGGTTATGATGTTACTCCTCTTCATCCCCAACACTGAAACTGATGGCTGCTTCTGTGTTAGGGTTTACAAAAAGACACGAGACAGATGTAAAGATGTACTATACATACATCATGTTAAAAGTTTATTTTAGGGTTAAATTTTGCACCCCATGCTTTAATACCTAAAGTATTAGTAAGAATTTCATTTAAATACATGTCTACTGAGTCACTATCTATTTCAAAATGAGCTCAACTCATTGGGGATTTACCCATGGCCTACTGATTATAAAGCCCTTGCATTTTCAGCATTACTGTAGACTGTATATAGGCTTTAAGAGTATTACAAACAACATTCCTGGGGAAATTATCTTTTTAACTCTGACAATGAACCAATAGCGGCCATAGGTGCTGCCAAACAAAATGGTGGTCTTTGTGATCATAACCATATCAGTTTTGCCACTTCAACCTTCAATCTTCAATCTTAAGACTGATAATTTAGGCAGAACCTTAGTAAACGGGGTAAAACTGTGGTTGCTTTTAGTTTATTCCGGAAACAAATACTGCAAAATGTAGAAAGCATGTTTGTTAGCCCAATCCCGAGACATTATCCCGTCCAAAGGATCTTACCTGCCTCCCAAAAGCCACATTAAAAGTGGTGCTGCTGCCCTTAGATTCAAACAGGTACTCCAGCCTGTTTGTATCCAAATGCACCGGCTCAAGCCCGGCCCAAATAGTCTGAGTCCCAAAGCGCGTCATCCTGGGAAGTGGAGCTAAACTCGGCAGTTCCCTCCAGTGGAGCTTCAAGGTATGAGATTTGGTGGATGCACCTTTATGGGAGGGCAAGGTCAAAGGTGGAGGAGGGGGAGGAAGAGGAGGGGGTGCTGGAGGGGCTTGGAGGCAACCCGTCGATAATTCATTGGTGGAATTGGAACCCTCGTCTTCGGTACTGTCTTCCTCGTCCCAGAGGTCTGAGAAATCTAAGGTGTTGAGGCAAAGACGTGCAGCCGGTTTTCCGAATGAACCCCAGGATTGGTCGAAATCCAACGTCAGGGGGTTATCCTTGGTTTGGTCTGATTCCTTCATTGGTCTTTCAACGCTGTCTGTGACTACAAGAAAAGTTCTGTTGATATGTTCAAGCATTACCCCAACAAACCAGGGTATAAGTCCTGTTTTGTGCTCGAGAAAAAAGTAGTCTCCTTCCTCATTTTGGATAAAAACAAGGCCTTTTTGGGTCAGATTAATTTTCTTCGTCGTCGTTATGTTCCACACAGCAGCTCTTCCTCTCACTGTGCGAACAGTACTCCCCTCAGACGTTGTGTATCTGCATCTGAATGTCTGTGGATGCTCAGTTTCACTTGTTGACCACAGAAGCGCATAACTCACACGACCAAATCACAATCTTCCAACCACCTTTGGGTGTTCTCGCTGCACCGTACCCTGCAATTGCCTCGGCTGCAGTGATTGTCCTTTAGGGGCGAGCCAAATCTGCCGCTTTGATCCAAAAATCCATTGTGACCTCGGTCCATGGGAAAGAATTCATGTGAGTTGATGGTTTGTGTTTAGTTCGGCATGCAAATCTGATGAGAAAATCCAAAGAACGCCTTTCTGTAGCACTTCTGCAATATCTAAATCATGTTCTTTCACCTTAATCTCTTTCTGATTCTGGTTCTATGACAGGGAGTGAATTTTGGAAAGCAAAAAGAGAGAGAGAGAAGTACATTTGTCCGTTGGAGCATCACTCTTGGTTTATTTGAGTTGCACCCTTTCCCTTAATTTCCTTATCGAGCCTGCATCTCCTGTTTGTATTGCTACTTGTGTATACACAAACGTCTCTATCTGCCTCTGAAGATCTGTTCCTTCCCTCCTCTCCTGCCTCCCCCTTCTCCCCTGGGAACGCATAAAAGAGCACGATTGCCCAAATTCTCCCCTGCATCCCATTTTTTTATTACATGAACCCTTTGAGGATGACACATCAGCATGCAGTAATGCATTCATCACAGCTGCCTTGACGGAAAAAAGTACACATGCATACTAAATTGGTCATTATGCAACGTTGAGGACATTTTCTTTAGTAAAGCATTAGCATGTAGAGCAGCGATTGCAATGTATCCAAGCATAACTGGGCGAAAAAATGTAAGGGAAAACATTGTGAAAACGTCAGTGTGTCTGCTGAATCACATGCAGTGTTCAGTTATGCTCACAGGGGTCATTTGCATGGTCCACATGCAGCCATAATGAGGATCCCTCCCTCGGACATTAGGTCGCCCCTAATTACACGTAATCTTGTTCAGTGCAGCAGCAGAAGGCTCATGGGACATTCAGGCCAAAGTGAGCTCTATTTGGCAAGCCAAGCTCCTATTTACATTCATTTATATGTACATTGAATACTGTTTTACAAACTGGTCGTGCTTGTGCTACAAACCTGAAACAAATAGAACAGCTGTATAGAGAGCTATCAAGGTGTTTGACAGAAAGCCACATTCATTCCACCACTGTACCATCCTAGAAAAACACAATTTCTTGAGTTTTGACAATTTTAAGTCTTTTAAAATGTGCTTTTTTTATAAATGTTTACATGGACTCCCCCCCCCCCTTTAGGGGAATTCATCCACAAAAAACACACTGGACGCTGCACCAGGTCAGAAACCAGAGGAGAATGTGAAGTCCACCGCAGACGGACCACTTTTGGACAATTAAGGGCAGCTCATTGTGGATTGGCCTCCTAACTGAGATATGGGATTGTCCCACTCTCAGTAGTTCAAAAGTCAACTAAAAGAATGGTTAAGAAACAAACAGCTAAATGCACCTTAATACAGGGGTGTCTCCTCTTGCACTTTATGTGTCGTAGCTGCTACATTGTGCTGCCATGTGGTTAATGCTTGTATGCTGCTCATGCTCTTTCTGCATATCATGTATTTACTTTTGCCTTGTTTATAACTGGCATGTTCATAAATGTTGTATGTGACGGGACTACGGATGGAAATTAGCTAAAAGCTCAAATCCGGCTAATTTAAACTTGAAAGCATTATTTTGTTTTAAAGTGTTCATCAATGTGCACTGTCCCGGTTCAAATAAACGATTAAATGAAAATGTATCAACAGTACTTCCAAGCATGCTTCAAAAAAGGAATTCAAAAAGTACATTTCAGCCAACATGTTCTTCAATTCATTGCAAACGATGACTGTGCTATGAACGAGATCTTGAATTCAATTGTAACCACACAATTCCCACCTTCAAATGTGAACTATTTTACTCTCAGCAACTTAGCTTCTAATGTTCTTGAAAGACAATGACATACCAGTGTACACATTCACCGTAAGAATGCAGTGGTGGTTTTGAGCGGGGAAGGGATGTACGTGGGCCGCCTCCTTTGGACCTGATGATTGGTGGGTTCACAAAACCACTTTCAGATCATGGACCTGGGGCGAGAACGCTGACAAAAGAAGACAAACAAGTCGAGCATTTCAGATACTCGGTTATGCAAGTCTGGAATTTAAGTTGTTGTAAAACGTAGTATTAACTTACATGATACTCATCTAAAGGTTACTATTAATATATAAACAGTTTAGTCGTGTCCCATAGCAGAATAATCCAATTATGATGGTATGATTTATAATTGATACTGTTTGCCTGCAGTAAATAAATATGTATTAGAGTTCCCCTGTTCTACATTTTGGATCAATTATGTTCTGTTTGTATACTGTCTAAAAAAACTTGAAACGTGTTTTAGTTATAGTTTTTTTATTGCCAGAAACATCACCTAAAGCCATGCATGCATATGTTATGTGGGATTATTTGGGATATAAAGGATATAAATTAGGATTATGTAGATATAGATAGACATACATATTTGATTTATCCCAAATTGGGAAATTGTTTTGTCACAGCAGCAGTAAATGTACACGAATTTCAACATTTCTTAAAAATTGAATAGAATACGAATAAACCTCAAACATGTAAAACAACATGTTCTCAGTAGAAAATACATAATAGTAATGTTTACCACTTTTGGTCAAATTAAAGAATACACAGTCACTGCCTGAATATAGGACTGCATGCATTCAGTATATCCTCCTACAAACTTTTTTAAAATATCGTCTTTTATTTCGAAAGTCTCGACCGGAAGTCCCTCCTGCCGCTATCCGCGCTCCCGCGTTGCTTTGGGAACATTCGGTGTCCCCGTGTGCGCGCTTGGCTTTCATCACACAGAGGATTTTCTACAATGTCAAACATTCACCATCTGCGCGAAGTCATGGCTTCTTTTACGCGAAATGATGAGAGGCATCGCCGCGTGCTGCTGCTCATCCTCTAAACACAGAAGTCCATTCACTTTTTTTATTTATTAATGCATTTATTATTCCATGTTCCTGGACGGGATGCGTTGGAGGTAAAACGGGATACTCTGTTATTTTTTGTTGTCGCTTAGAAAATTAAGATTGTTTTCACCATGCCTGTGCGTAAAATCATAATGTTGTGTTTTTTAAAATATCATTTGAAAATTAAAACATGACCTCTTGATATTGACAGTAGCCTATATTTTCCCCCCTCGCATCTTTATCTGAAAAGTTGTCAGGCTCTTACATTGACTGTCGTAGACTATTACGTAATGTGAGTGCAGACAGATTACAGTGAGGTTGTTTGCGTAAAGCATCATCTGTAGACTACTGTAACACCAAAATGAAAAAAAAAGAAAATAATATTTTTGCTTCACTTTAAGGACAAATAAGTCCACCATTATGATATAGGAATTGTAGGAATATATATCCTATATTATCAATCAATTTGTTTTAATTTATCAATCAATAATAAAGCCATAACTGAGGATTGATGTGCTTCTTAGTGCCTACATAGAAAGTCAATGGGAATAAACTAGAACTGGCTTTGTATAATTAATTGGAATAACATAATTCTGATTGGATCTTCATGACATGATTTTACAAATAATATCCAGTCATTAGTCAAAATGTTATGCTAACATGTTAGAGAGGACTATAACTGACTCTGTTCTTGTTGTGCCGCAGCAGGTCTATGTGAGTGTGTGAGCTGGGTCAGAGGTCATGCTGCGGAGGGAATCTGACTCCCGTGGTCTCTTTTCCTCGGGAGAGACGTCTGACAATGACTGTGTGGTGAGGTCATTTATTTTTACCTGTCAAGTTCATTTACATTAGGAATCTGTTGAAGGTACTGTAAATAAAATCAGATTCAAATTTTGATCCGTGATATTGAGAGTTATATTTTACCTTTAAAGGGACGGTTCACCCTAAAATCAAAACAACCTTTTCCATCAAGCTGTAGGGATATCAATCAATCTAGTTTGTTATGTGTGAGATATATGCCTTCTCTCCAATATAACAGAACTAGATGGCACTCAGCTTAAAGGTGGGGTAGGTAATTTTGGAGAAACCAGCTCGAGTGCGCTAGAATTTGAAAATACACAACCGGAGAAAATCTGCCACTTCCTTACAGAGCCCCTCCTCCAACACACACGAACGAGCACATGACCAATGAGTGCATGAGATAAGTTTGTGCACAGATGGAAGGCTGACAGGCAGGTAGGCCATCCAGTTACTTTAGCCGGGCCGGCTCAGATGATTGGTCGTGCTTTTTACAGTACTACGGCTTCCACAGATGAACATTTTTTATGGATTTTTTGTCAAAGCACTTCAGATATTCATTGCTATCGGGATGTTAAGAGCATTCCATGGAATATAACAAAAAGTGTATCTCGAGCCGGTCTCTCAAACTTACCTACCCCACCTTTAAGGTGATAATGCGGCAAAAATAATATGTTTGCAAATTCAACAGCAATGTCTCTTTCAAGGAATCATGACCTGTTTACTCAAGATAATCAACTGAGTTTTTTGTGAGCTGTTCGAAGTAGGAACTATTTTATTTCCACCAAAGTAAACCTGCCAACCGTATCACGGTGCAGAAGGACATTAATGTTTACGTCTCCTGTTGTCACAAGTTTCTTGTAGTCTTGTAGCTTTTTAAAATATAGATTTTTTTGCACTTTTAAGCCAAGTGCAATATAATTATATTTACTTCAATCTGAGAGAAAGCAGCACCTCTACAGCTGATATCAACACCAAACTCACTAACAATCCAGATTGACAGCTTTTGGCAGTGTCCCTTTAAAAAATACAATACAGTGAATCCAACTTTAACATCCAATAAACGGCCAACACTTTGCATTTAATTATATCTCTGATGTCCTTTGACTGAATCATATGAATTAATCAGTTTTCATAACTCAAATGCCAGTGCCTGTCAACTCCTCCACTTTTGAGCAGTTTAAAAGGCGAGTAGGTGGAGAAGGTTAAAAAGCCAGGAATCACATCACCAACACGGAAGCATTTATAAAAATACTTTTGCTGTCTCCATGTAACTTCTAAATCAGGGGTGTCCAAACTTTTTTCACAGAGGGCCACATACAGACAAATGTACGAACGGCTGGGCCACTTAGAGGTGGTGAAAAAAGTTTGGACACCCCTGATTTAGAAGTTACATGGAGACAGCAANTTCCCCCCCCCCGCTTATCACTCCCGTGGCTCGTTATTACAAGGAGCGAGACGAGAGGTCTATTTTTACAAACGAGGGGGTGAGAAAGTGACACGGAAGGTGAGATTTTCATGTGGCAAAAGAAAGCAGAGTTTATCGTTTGCGTCAGAAAGAGATTCTGCTGTAAATGTACCTAAAGTGGCTCAGAATGAAAGTATTTTACCCTGTGCTTTTCTGGATATAATGTAGCCAAAAGGCCAACTACACCCAAAAGTTGATTTCATTTCTAAAGCACCATGTTTGTGTGCCCATTTTGTGCCATTCACTGCCTTTTCTGAGTTGGTTTTTCTGTAATGTAATCATTCTCTTGAAACAGAAAGGTGAGGTCAAGCGCGAGCCCACGGCAGAAGGAAAGACATGATCACAATGACGAGAGAGAGGGAGAGAGGCAGCAGGAGGAGGAGGGTGAGAGGGAGAGAGAAGGAAGCTGGCCATAGAGACATCAGACATTTGGAGCCTCGGGGAAGTTCGCCCGGAGTCTGTTGCCTCTCAACGTTCGGCCGGCAGATGACCAGTGGCCTGACCTGTGATATGCTCTCCTGGAAGACAAAGATGTGAGAGTTGTTATTGTAGGGGAAAAAGCTTAAAACACAATGCACATTTCAAAGAGCTACTGACACAAATATATTGTTGTGATAATCAAAAGAGCCCAATTGTTTTCAGCACTATTTCAGTGATTCCTCAGCAGTGGTGATATGGTAAAGAAGCTGAAACAACTTATTTCCCATTTTCTGTTAAAGTGCTCATTCAGTGCTAACTTCCATCCATCCAGATAAACTCCTGCCACTTCTGTTTGACTTATTCTAATCTAATCCGCTAAAAAAGAGGAAATAAGTCACACAAATTACAAAAAAGGTACCAAGCAGCCATTGGTGTACATTACATGTTTAGAAGTAAAGTAAGTTATCATCACATACATATATATCACGTATTGTAGGACTCTATAATTTGATTTGAGACAGTTTGGAAGACTTAAAAAACGCTGACCAATCAGAGCAGACTGGGTTTTTGGGGGGTCTTAAAGAAACAGGCGCTAAAACTGAGTGTTTCAGATAGAGGGTAAATACAGGTATATTCAGATGGACAGTATGAGAAAAATAATGTGTTTTTTCAACATTTAACCATGCAAATATGTTCTTGTTGAAACCCCAAAAAATATTATGACCATACATTTGAGCACTGTATGTCTCCTTTAATTGATCCAAATAGGGAAAGTCTATGGCAGGGGTGTCAAACTCAATTTCATCCTGGGCCACATCAGCATTATGGTTGCACTCAAAGGGCCGGTTGTAATTTTAATTATATATAAATATACATATGTAAATATATAATATATATTAAATAATGTATTATATTACATTGTAGGCCCTGCATTGGATTATTATCAGTTCTGGTAATATCTTCCTAAATAACTACGTCTGAAAGCAGAAGTCTATGGCAAATAATTGAAAGTAAATATTCAACAATTAAACCAATTGTATTATACTGAATATTATATTCTTTGCAAGCTCTTGCGGGCCACATAAAATTAGGTCGCGGGCCAAATTTGGCCCCCGGGCCTTGAGTTTGACACCCTTGGTCTATGGGATACTGTCACTGCAACCCTGTTTAAAAGCTGGATCTACAGCTGTGACAATATCTCTTTCCTCAAACCTCTTTGTTGTGTTGTGTAATTTGGTGAACAGATGTACAGAAACACGACTAATTAGAATTCACATTGCTGCGTTTTCTACCTCCAGTATGGTCCTGCTGTCTGCTCTGTCAGGGCTGAGCCTGAGGTTCCAGCGGTGTGTTTGGTGGCTCCGCCCCCCGTCGTCCTCGCTCTCCGTGGTGTCTTGCCGCGCTACCTGTGGACGCTTTCGTCTGCGCGAGCTGATTCGCTGCAGAGAACCTGGCTCCTGCAGTCTGAACCAATCAGGTTAAAGGCACAAGGTCAGAGAACTACAAGCAAAGATGTACCGTGTGTAGATATGAAAGTGTGTGTGCATATCAAACCTGCAATCTGTGTCCTCTATATCAGCATCTGCATCACTCTCCCCCTGAGGGTCTGACAACACACACTCCTCCTGCACAGGAATGACACATTTAGCAACTAGATCAAGTCTGTGACAAAAATGACAGTTTAAAAAAAGGCATTCATGTTAAACTTATGATATGCTAATTTAATGACGTTGGGTAAAGTATCACAAGCACTAATTATGGATAAACTCAACCACCAAATCTACAGGTTTTTTTCTTTCGACGAAACCCAGATGAGTAAAAGTGAATCATCACTGACCGCCACTTTCTGTAAACCAAAAATAACAACACTTGATGATGGCATTTGTGTGAGTGCGTGTACTCATGCGTCACTTTTTTATAATCACCATTTTTATTGTGCATGAATCCGCTGACTCCTCAACGCATGACTAATGAGTTTAGAGACACCGAATCTGGCACTTCCTACGGATTTTATTTTGATTCGAAAATACAAAGACTGAGTCATGATAATCGTGTAGTGAAAATCTGATATCGTGACAGCCCAACGCTACAATTGTTGATGTGTCGAAGTATCTTAGAGCACTATTTTAAGCAAACACTTTTTCTTATCACCTTATCATTTTGGCTGCAGGACAGTTAGCTTAGCTTAGCATAAAGACTGCACAGAAGGGGTAACAATAGCCTAAAAATTATAAAGTAAAAAATGTAATAAAAATACCTACCAAGAACTCTAATGCTCAATTAACACTGTATCTCTCTTTTGATTATGCTGTTTCAACTAGAGGGTTATGTAGTCTTTCATGGCTAAGCCCATTTCAGTCCCTATAGCTGTAGCTTCATATTACACAAACAAAAAATGTTAAACTGTTACTTTAAATGAAACAGTGGAAACACAAGTGTCATACCAATCTAGTTCAAGAATAGATTGTATTATGTATGTAAAATATGTAAAATATTTTGTCTCCTGAGTTGTTGTTTTTTTGGGACAGGTATGCCTTACAGTACATGATGCAACCTTGAAACCACAGCTGCCTGCTAAATGAAAACGCAACATAAATATATTCAGACACATAAAGGTCGGAAAATGTCTGAAATAAATAGTTACACGCACACGCATGTCAAAAGAAACACACATTACCTCCGTTCCGTATCCCTCGGAGAACCTGGTTATCATGACTCTGTTCTTTCCACAGTGTTCACACAGGCGTGTGTCCTGAAAACACTAAGTGAAGAATATATGATTGATTCAAAGACATATACCAGTGCCTTTTAAACATACAGTAAAGAACACAAAGGCAGTGCGAGATAGAGGTCAGCAGCAGGTAAGAGGCATGTATTTAAAGCACTATTAAAGATGGAGAAACAGTCGACGGCCACAGACTCTTAAGTGGTGAGCCTGAGCACTCACCGGCGTAGGTGTGTGTGCTTCTGGATAAAGTGTACAGGGACCGACCTCGCACAGACACGCTACATCCACCTCTCCACAACTCGCCCCCATCTGAGACAAAGACAAACACAGAGAGAATTGACAACCTTGTGAGAAGCTTCTTGTCCCTTTATTCTTTAGCAAGAAACATATTTACAAAGTAAGTTAAAGGAAAACAGTTAGAAGTATATCGGTATCATTTAGAATAGGGGTGTCCAAACTACGGCCCGGGGGCCAAATGCGGCCCGCTGGCCATTTTGAATCGGCCCTCAGCTAATTCAAAAAGCATAATGAAATATGGCCCACACATGAAACTTGGGCTTTNCCCTCGTTTGTAAAAATAGACCTCTCGTCTCGCTCCTTGTAATAACGAGCCACGGGAGTGATAAGCGGGGGGGGGGAAGGGTTTCATGGCTGCACAGGTAGATTATAAAGGGAGTCATTAGGAACATAGGAAAAAGATGATGCTGCTGAACTATGCAAATGTTATGTTCCTACTGCAACATCTCCTATTCCTTTGGCACTACCATCACCTTCTTGACCCTTTACCTTTTCTCTTTGAAATACAGGGAGTTATGGTTCTAAAATTGAGCATGACCCCATCTTAAAAAGCAATAGCAGATGAGATCTGAGATCATTTTTCAAACGATGGCTTAAGTGTTATTTTACTTAAAAACAGGTGGGTCCTCTTTCTTCTTTCTGGCTGTACTTTTGTGTTTCCTTGTAAAATAAGCTGACCTCAAAAGAAAACGTGATGGGATCTTAATTATGTTAAAGTTATTTAAACACTTAAAACACAGTCTTACCGTTGATTGCTATTGTGTTTGATAATATTTATGTTATATCTATATTTAGGAGTTATTATTTAAGAAGAAATTGACAATCAGTCACACTACTTTTTCAAGATGAAATTATTGGAAAACCTGTGGCATTTCTGTACTGTATATGTTGTTATTGTATGTATTTAAACTTCATACCACAGTAGATTTGCTTGCATCCTTTTAGAGAAATATGAAATCCCAATTAAGATCAGGTATGAGCTCACTGATTGGTGTTCAACAACCGTTTATCCAGCATTTAATGTTGCCTGTCTTACGGGTTATCTGTGTGATCGCCTCTGTGTTCTTTGAGCCATAGAAATTCAATAAAACTAAATTGTATTTTGACAAAAAGAGCTTCCTGTGTGTATACAGTATAACAGCAGTGTGAAACAGCAGGGTAGTAGTTTTGAGCTACAATTTGTCTTTACAGATTTTATAAGAAAAATCGAGCTCATTCCAATAGAAAATGAAGTCCGCACCACATTCGTGTTAGGTGAAGAAGGATTCAGTTAAAAAAACAACAGTTTGATAAATACTCTGACATCTGAATAAAACACCCACACAAAACATGGCCCCATTGTGTAAAGGCCTTTAATTGGTAAGATTTAGAGATGCTAGTAGAAATACCCGAGGTCAGACCAAAGGTTAGGATCTCGGTCTTTATCCTAAACTAAGCTAGCATAGCATATGTAAAGATGTCCTCCGTAATATGTCGAAATATAACTCAACGTTTTTTGTTTTTTTTATATAATTGATCCTACAGAGTTTAAAATGGGAGAAAAAAGGCTTTGATTAGTGAAGCTAATGCATCATCACTTCTGTGGCTATGAAGAAGAAGAAGAAGAAGAAGAAGAATATAAGAATGTAAGAATGTAGCTCGGCCTCTTGTCCCAGCAGGGTTTGCTGCTCTTGACGAAAGGGCCGGGGGGGAAGGGGGGGACGCTCTTCACTCCGCCTCTCACTGCGTTGGTCGCCATGGTAACAATCAGGACTGCTGAGAAAACAGACTTTTCATAAGTAAATTGTGTGAGCTGCTGCCCAGAGCAAAGCACTCACTGTGGGTGATAATAATGTGAATGTGGTGATGCAACATCTGCTGGGTTTCAAACTCAGAATGTGGACATGGTGGTGAACAAACATGTTTCCTTTACTATGAATGAAATCCGCTATCCTCTAAACCAGGGGTGGGGAACCTTTTTCCTCTCAAGGGCCATTTCAATTTTTCAACATCCTCCGAGGGCCGTAGGCCTACAAATTATTGTCCTCTGCTTAAAAAAAAAAAAAAAAACAGCCCATTCATTGGGCCTTTCTTTCATGCTGTGCAAAGAAAAAGCAACCTCTTAATCCAGATATCTCACCATGACTCGCGCATGCATGCACGTGCACGGTGTGGCATGACCACCACAACAGAAAGATATGGACACAAGATGTGTGCAAATGTATTTAGTTTCATATCCATGTGGACACGATTTAAGTGGGGGGGGGACCTCACACCCTCTAGGGGGGGCCGGGGGCATGCTCCCCCGGGGAGATTTGTTTTTAAATGTTGAAGTTAAAAGCATCAATCTGGTGCACTTTGAGAGCAACATGAAGAGATCTATGGATACATCTCTCAACATCGATATGAAACAGAACTGTAAGCAGATTTTATTTTCTTTATGGATATTTTACAAATCACTCCCCTTTCAAACTGTATTCTTCTTTATTAATAACAACTTTGTTTTACTGTCATATAGTATTTTATACCTGTTTACTTTATTCTATACTATAATGACCATATCAATAATAATAATAATAATATAAATTACATTTATAAAGCGCTTTTCCTGGTGCTCAAAGCGCTTACAAGCAAGTAAAACAAAAATAACAACAGATAAATAAAGATAAAATAAATAAAGATAATAAATAAAGATGATGATAAAGATGTGCCTTTACCTCACTGGTTGGAGAAAAAGCTTCTTATATTCGTTAGCATAGCTAGCTAACCAGATGCTAATAACAACAAAGTTATTGACTGTATGATCAGTATGACAGATGAACAGATCGCCCACTGGGCTTTCAACTAAAGACACAGACACGCAAAAACTGCGACATGTGTACGGCTCCTTATGGGTACTGCAATTTCTGAATTGCCGGAGCGGCGTTCTGATGATACGTCAGGCTCGTGTTATGTTCAAGGACCCTAATCTTGGCCAGGAGAAACAGGCACTCGCTTTTTTTCTATTTTTTTGCGGTCTATATTTCTTCAATTTTTTTCTTTTTTGCGTGTGTTTATAAATTACCTCGAGGGCCGTACCAAATGGTCTCGCGGGCCGTATACGGCCCGGAGGCCGGAGGTTCCCCACCCCTGCTCTAAACCCCACTAGGCTTTTGGGGCCTATATATATATATATATGTATATTTGGGGCTTTACAGCACTTACATGTTTTACTTCAGAATGTCTCAAAGGGTCACAATATTCTCAATTTATTTGAATGCATTTAACTTCCATTTTTGCATGGGTTCACTCGTCTGATGGTTAAACTTCCCTGTGTGTCTGTAAGTGTGAGTGTGTGTTTGTGTGTTTGTGTGTTTGTGTGCAGTGCCTCACATGTCAACAACTGTGAAAGGAGCAGAGTTCTTGTGTCCTCAGGTAGGAGTGTGTTTTACAGCGAGGTGTTGCCCACCTGTTTCATTTCCAACTCGCCCACTCAGTGCTTCAACTTCAAAGCTTCCTCAATAGAAACTCACTGTGTTGATCGAATTGAACCAGTGTTATTTCAGAGCAAGTAGAGGCCCAAGGTTGAAGATATTTGACCAGGGGAAAATTAATTTGTCTTTTAGTGTAGGCTGTTTGCAGACCTCTGAAATGTAATCTGAATGACAGTAATGACCGCGAGAAGTGGAATTAAGAATGGGGACATACATTCATGAAAAACAGCAACACAAGAAAATGGTGTCAAGCATGGACGAGGTTAGTCTCAGATGAAATAACAATTCTCGAGCCAACATAATTCCTTGATAAATGTGAACATTGTCGGTGTAACTGATCCTAGCAAATACTACAAGAGCTGTCACACTCACATTGGGCCCGATATTTCTGATTGTTTGGGATCAACAAAACAAACCCTACCTTCCAACAAGAAATCAGCCAACACAGCCAAACATTAGCTTACTAATTTACTGTAGTGTTTGAAAATGATCAAATCAAATAATGAGATTTTTTCCTGCAACAGAGTTTGAAACCAGGCAGAGGTTATTAAGAAGGACTTGACAAAGAAACAGTTATGAATGGCTAACACAACACGATGGCATTCAAACAATCCACAAGGAGGGATCATAGGTTTATTGCCAGCCACTACTTCTGACATGCACCACTATATATCAAGTCAAGGTGACAGTTTGACCCAGCTGTTTCTCTGTTGGTAATAAAAGGCGACAGGTGTATGTGTCCTTGTTTTGTTTCGGCCTCCTCAATTCCCTCACATCTCTTGAGCCTTGTCCCAGATTCCATTGTCTTTGGACGTGGAGGAGCAATGTGATCCCGCTGGTAACCCTCGAGGCATTTAATAATGATCTCAGAGTCATATGGCCCAGACTTAAGGAGCCAATGTCCCCTTAAGGTGTTTTGGTTCGGACGGGCACCAATCCAGATGCCTCTAGGTCTAGATCATTCATTTTATAAAACTTGCTTGGGACAAATCTTTACAGGATAAATGTAAAAACCTCTCACCACATACATAATAATGAAAACAGTATGAATTGCATGGCATGTACATAAACTGTGGAGGATAAGTGATAAATAAAAAAAATACAAATTGAGAAAACAATTGTAGGGGATAAAAAAAAAAAAGTAGTTAAATCCCTAAAAAGTCTCGACTTTTGATTTCTTATGAGATAGTATTGTGTACATGACAGCTTGTAGGAGTCATGAGTTACACATGCCACTCAAACATGCGCCACATAAAGGAGGAGGGAGAGGCAGGACAGTAACAAACAAACAGCTGATGTCTGCAGACGGCTAAGCTTAAAGGTAAAAGACTTTCAGCAGCAACACCAGCATCAAAAGAGTGGATTACTACTGGACATAAACATGATTTTCTTTGTGCGTTTTTTTCCTCATAAATCGTGCAAAAAGTAAGTGAAGTGCACTCTATTCCATTCGACAGGTGTACATGTTTTAAGTACAGTATGGCAGAAGAAATTGAGGAAGAGCAGAAAGAAGAGTTTTATGGGGAGGCAAAGGACGCAGAGGGAAAAGAAAGATATGAGGTGGATGATGAGGAAGACCGGCAATTGAGCGAAGTAGCGCTTGTCGAGGAGAAAAATGATGGGGAAGAGGAGCAACAGGAGCAAAGCAGAGAACATGTGAGAATAATTGAGGGTGGCAACATTGAACAAAACCAAGAAAGTTCAAGCAGAGCACACACGACAGTCAATGAAGAAAATGAATGTTGTAACTTTGACAAGGAAGAGAAAGCTAAGAAGTTGACAGCTGAGGAGGAAACTAGATTCAAAGTTGATCAGGAAAAGCTTCAGAAGGATAAGCAAGGGTCTGCTGTTGATGAGGGTGCAGAACATTGGACGGAAAACGAAGCAGATGCTAATTACGAAGATGTGGTGAAGATTTACTGCAAAGGTGATCATCCAACAAACCTTTTCCGCACCTTGACAGAGTTCAGGGACTCTTCCCTTCTCACTGACCTTATTTTGAGCACAGGGGATGGGAATACTTTCAACATACATTCCCCTGTCCTGGCTGCTGTTTGCTCCTATATCCGAGAGTGCCTTATTCAAAGACATGTTCATAGAGTTGATGAGAGCAAAGAACCAAGTGTTGGAGTCCAAAGGTGGTCAATGTCTCTGGGTCCAGAGGTGGATCACGTTGGATTGAAAGCAGTGGTGGAGTTTGCCTACACTGGACACATTTCGTGTTTGAACATGAGCACTTGGCACCAGATAAAGATGGCGGCTCAATCATTGGGTGCCCCTAGGGTTCTGGATCTCTGCAAAGAGGTAGAGGAAAAGTCCACAAAAACTGAAGCGCAGAAAAAAGAGGTCAAAATGTCGGCAGCAGAACAAATGAAAATCAGCCTTCAGTCCATCAAACGGCTGTGCATGGAGAGAGTAGGCTGTGATGTCATTCTGGAAGCTCCTGGAGGATCTTTTCATGGTGAGTAGAGTACAATAATTGACTTTTACAATGTCTTAGATTAAATGTCTTTCCTACTATATGTATACCAACCCTTTAGAGTCCTGTTCATGTTAGCTGGCATTACATTTAATGTACTTATTATTGCCCATCCTTCAGTCCACAGAGTCATCCTGGCTGTGTGCACTGACTTCTTCCGTGGCATGTTCACCTCTGGGATGATCGAGACCTTTCAGCCCTGCGTGACCCTTCCTTTCCTTTTGGCTTCAGAGCTGGAGGTGCTGATTGACTGCTCTTACAGCGGGACTCTCCCCCTCAGCTGGACATGTGTTTTCGAGATCACCTGCACTGCTCTCCAGCTCCAATACCAACCGGCCCTCTCCTTGTGTCTTAACTTTCTGCGTCAAGAAATAAATCCTCACTCCTGCCTGGATGTGGCATCTTTTGCAGAGGCCTACGAAATGCCGCAGCTTCTTGAAGTCGCGGATGATTTCGTCCTGCTGAATTTCCAAAAGGTTGCATGCGTCTCAAAGCTCAACGACTTGTCAGCCAAAAAGCTCCTAAAGTACCTGAAGAGTCCATCACTCTGTGTTTCATCTGAGCTCGCTGTATTCAAAGCAGTGGTAGCATGGATCGAGGCAAAGCCCAAAACAAGGTTGACGTTTGCTAAAAGACTAATGAAAACCATCAACTTTCCCCTGATGACAGTCGAGGAATTCAAAGAGTTCAAATATCTGACCATGTGGTCCGATCACAACCTGTCAGGGGTCTATGAGGCAATTCTTGATGATTTCCGCTCCAAAGAGAGTCATTGCCGGATCTATCAACCGAAAGAGACTCTGGTCTTGATTGGAGGCGATCAGATCTCTGAAGACCTGAGGGGACGCAGCATCAGCAGAGAACTCTGGGGTTTGAATGCGCTAAGGATCTATACAGGGCGGAAAAAGGCCATAGACTGGAAAAAGTTGGCAGAGATGCCAGAGCAAGAGAGGTTCTCTCATGAGGTGGCAGTCCTCGAAGGACAACTTTACGTGTTGGGAGGCAAGCATTATTACGGCATCAGCGACAACCTGAACTCTGTTTTGAGGTGAGTGAGGACAAAGTTAGAGTTTGAACACATGATTTAATGACTGTATACTTAGATTTGTCTCATTTGACCATGTCTGTAGGTATGACCCTGTTCAAAACAGCTGGGAGAGCCTGACTGAGATGCAGAAAGACAGAGGCTCTTTCTCTGTGGTGGTTCTGGATGGAATGATATATGCCATTGGCGGACATTGTGACCCTGAATATATGGAGAGTGTGGAACGATACTGCCCCACTGAGAACTCTTGGAGGTACGTGCGAAGGAATGCTGATTTAAAACAAAGTAGATCATATATGAAGGAAGGGTATAATGTTGCTTAATTATCTATAAACCATCTATCAACTAGGGTAACTGTACAATATTGCTAAAAATTGTGATTTCAAAATCTCTCATTACCTAAACTTAAAATTAAATGCAGTTGCAACAGAGTGAACTGAATTATGTTGAGAAAAAACATTGAGGAAGGGATCAGAATTAGAAAAAGGTTTGCAGCATGTAATTATAACCTGACACTTCACATTTGACTTGTCAGATATTTAAAATATGTCTTCTCTTTCAGCTTCACATGGCCCTTGGATCTGCCTCTGGCTGGCCATGTAGCAAAGGCTTTTCAAGGGAAGATATTTATCTCAGGAGGGCTGAGCAGCATCTCCCAACATCTATCATCTATGTTTCTGTACCACCCAGAGACAGGAAGCACTTATTTGGCAAACATGGCTAAACCTCGAGCCCGTCACTGCATGGAGATCCTGGGCGAACGTCTTTATGTTGCGGGTGGAATCACTTCAGAAGATAACATGGGTATGGGTGATCTGCTAACTTGTGAGGTCTACAATCCAGTGGCTGACTCCTGGACTGCCTTCACATCTCTTTCGGTGCCACATGTAAGCGCAGGAGGAGCAGTTTTGGGGGGAAAGTTTTATGTGCTGGGTGGATACAGCCATGAGGACTTCAGTGAAACTAAGTTGGTTCATTGTTATGATCCCACCACAAAGAGATGGGAGAACATGGGCAAGATGCCTGGTCCGAACAGTGACATACGGGCAATTGTGCTGTGTTTGCCACCACATTTCCGTATGTAAGATATTGTGAGGTTTAAGGCCAATGTTACTGTAGTTTCAAAAATAATATCAATAAGAATGAGGAGGGGGTTCATTTTCCAAACAAACAAAGATTAAAGTTTGAGATATTGACTGAGGTTAAGGTGGTAAGTGTGGGTGTAAAACCGTGAAAAACTTTAATTAGAAAAAACGAATTGGGATCATAGTGTTTCTTCTCACGAAAGCCTGATATCTTGATATAATTTTGCAGAAATCAAAGTTGCATGCAAAAGGTTCCATATATGTGTAATGTAGAGCATCTTGGGGCTATATATTCAATAACTGAACAGTGTTCAAAAAGTACTGTGATGAAACGGCTCATGTGTTAGTGAGGGTGCAGTCGTCAGGAAAAGAGACCCTGTAAAAGTTGGATTGGCATTTAATCTTCTGAAGAAAGTTTATTTACATTTTCAATAAAATGTACTTGAAAGTTAAAAACATGCATGTGTTTTTTTGTGTTATTTTCAGTCAAACATTGTTTGCCACATCAGCAAAGGCTTTATGCTCTACAAGAGCATCTCTCTTCAGTTTAAAAGTACAACACAATGCTTTGTTTACTATCTTTTACGCAGGGAAGACAAGAAATCCACTGAAGGTTGTGTGTCCGTTCATGTTGTCGAACACTCTGCCGTCATCCCACAGTTCCATGTACACCTTGTCACCACCATCCAACTGCAGAACAACAGCATTACTGCTACTGTCCGAGCCGTCAGTTGAAGGGTAATCATAGGTTGAAATTTGACTAACGCCATTCTTCATTAAAATGGCCCCCATTACATGTGTATTGTAGCCATAGGTACTGAAGCTAAAGAAGTAGAGACCATTCACTGGTGCTGTGAAGATTCCTGAAACAGAACAAAGACGCAACAAAGTTACTCAGGTTTATTGCTATAAAAAAATTTCAGAGGGGATTCAGGAGGCCTGAATGGACGAGCCATTAAATGGCCCCATACATTTAATTGAACATTGAATCATCAAGTGCCTGAATGCCCTTTTGAAGACACTTTGAGTCCTTGCACACTTTCCATGTGTTTACATTTATGAAAACTTGGTCTGAGGCAATTACCCACAATTTACAGCATTGTGACTTTGACTTATTTTACCAGAGGAAACCCTAGGCTTCTAACTAAAAAAGGTCAACAAGGAGGACTGGCAAATTGGTGTTCAACCTGTGTGAAAGCACACATTAACATTTGCGAAAACCAAGCCTATACACATCTAGTCCATTCACTCTATTTATATTTTTTGCTTAAATATACTGTCATGCAGTAAAATAGTACATTGCTTTTGGAACACATTAGCATTTGTCCACTCTGTCCATTTTCTGGCAGTGAAAATGAAAAATATAAAACAAAAAAACCTGCATACAGTACTCGCGCCACCATTGTAACTTGATATGTTGCAAAGTGCCATCCTATTCCTATTTATAGTATCTCAAGATCTAGCCGGTTACACTCAAGTCCCTTATACTGTAGGTGACATCATTTAAGTCCTCATGGGTTTAGGGGGGAGATTGTTAAACTTTGAGTGAACCATTTCACATTACAGGTTAATATGAGTAATAAGAAAACACTACAGAAGGAGCAAATTCCTCTCTTTGTTTGTTCTTGTTTGAAATACCAGAAGCCTTCAGCCTTAGGACATAGTGGATTTGAAGAAGACTTTCAACCAAAGGGCTAATGTGTCGTACAAATCTTCTTTTAAATGATACTCAGTTGTGAGTGGACAACCCTGACAAAAAAATTACTTAAAATAATCTACGCATAATTTAGGAGCTCACAGTACCTGTATTCGGGTCATAACCATTGCCAGTGTTTGAGAAGACCCTTTTGAAAATCAGGGCCTTGTCTGTACAGGGTCCTTTGTAAATCTCTCCAAAGTTTGCCAAAGAGGCAGAGAATGCAATCTGAGGGCCACCTGTGGACAATTACATGAAGAAATGGATATTTATAAAGATTAAAATCAACATATTCAGAGAAATTGTCTTTATCACGATATTATCACCTGACTATTTTATTGTGTTAAATATAGAACCTAAGTGTGGTCATCTCACCTTTAGCACTGTTCTGCTTTAGCTTATCAACGTCCTCCTCTGTGGCATTCAGTCTTGTTTGCAAGCCTAGAAATAAAGAAATACAAAATGAATGTTTGACAAAAGCATATACATTACTAACAATGGGTGTTAAAATGTATCCTTATGAATCATGTACCTTCATTCTCTTTCTTCAGTTTGTCCATTTCAGCCTTCTGTCTCGTCACCTCGTCCACAGTCGCGTTGAGCTTGGTCTCCAGAGCGTCAAAATCATTCTGCCGTCCTTCTACCTCTTTAAGTTTTTCCTCCAATTTCTTGATAAATTCCACTTTATCCTTCAGCCACTCATTAATATCAATGTCGCCTCTCTGTCCAAACCCTGGCTCCACAAACAAGACACCCAGCAGGGTCAGAAGACACACCACCTTCAGCGCCATTTCCTCGGTTTTAAATCTGTAGTATCTTGAATATTCACCTAGCAGTTTTTGGAGGGTGGCTTTTCCCCAGCAGCTTTTATAGCTGCTTTGTTCAAGGGTTCTTGGATTTCAGTGAGTAAGCAGAGTTGAGACCCTCAGGGACCCAAGTTCTAGTCGTGTCCCAACAGGCCTACTGGGAGGATTTAGTGAATGTGTTGCCATTCAAATATCAGTTGGAAATGTGTCAAATGTGACAGGAATGAATGTCAATAAATTAAAGTTAAATGTCTCCTATTATACTGTTTTTCATCAATATATTAAAGGTCTCAGAGATATACAGAACATGTCTCTGAAGTGTTTGGCTCCAAACACCAAACAGATCATTGCAGCATCCCATAATCCCCTCTGTTTCAGCCCTGTTTCAAAAGTGCTGATTCTCTGTCTGTTACTTTAGATAAAAATAAGGAGCCACCCCCCACGCCCCTCTGAGAGATATTTGGTTAAAAAGAACACAATGGTGCTCTAGGATGAGATTCAGGTGATAAGGGGGGGGTTACCTTGGTCATGGCCGTACCAACCATTGAGGTTACCGAGGTCTGGACCTCAGTAATTTTTTTCGGGGTGCATATTCTAAAACTTGTGAAATAACTGCACATAATTAACAGGGTTCTTTGAAGTACTTCCATTTACTGGCGGTGGGGGCAATGCACAACTAAGTAGCCTACATTAAAGCAAACAGCAGAAGACGACATAAATGTATCAACAAAAAGCTGCAGTACGGACTTGTACCCATGCATGTATAATAAGGGAAGGTGAAATAAATACTTTACATTAAGTTATTTCCATGTTGTGTAAATAATGATGTAGGCTAATGCTTGTGAAAGGCAAAGAATAATACACAAATATACATATATATATATATGTATATATACTGAGCCCAGACTAAAATGCTTTTGTGTGCACAAACTAGAGGTGATTTTGGTGGCGGTACGAATATCTTGGACAAAGTTATAGTGGGGGTTCCAAATCCGACAGCACCAACACCTGGTCTGCCACATGTGGAAGCCCCCCTTTAGTTTTCACCTGCTGAGCCCAGAGTGAAATGCTTGTGTGTGCACAAACTAGAGGTGAACAGCAAACACCAGTTTGATTTTGGTGGCAGTACGACCACCCTGGACAAAGTTATAGTGGGGGTTCCAAATCCGACAGCACCAACACTTGGTCTGCCACATGTGGAAGCCCCTCTTTAATTTATCACCTGCCGAGCCCAGAGTAAAATGCTTTTGTGTGCACAAAATAATTTGGGGGGGCTTGTCCCCGAGCTCCCCTAGCATGTTTTGGACCTCTGTATTTACGAAATCCTGGGTACAGGCCTGACATTGGTTGGTTATTGGCTAATTGTTTCACAAGAAATTCAGAATCTCTTTACACAGAGGGGACACATGTTTATTTATAAAAGACATGAAGAAGTGGATTTTGCATATTAGGTGACCTTTAGCATTGAGAATGTTCACACAGTTATAGTTCATATAATTGTTATATAGTCTAATTTTGAGACTATGTTTTAAAGCCTTCGTGCTTTGAGCTAATAACGTCTCTGCAGATCAAAAGGTATCCTGAGAATTTTTCTTTCTACAGCCTCCTTCCAACATCATATGTAACCATTGTTTTTCTACATCTCATGTTCCTCATTGATAAACCCATGACACTTAAAATAAAACATGAAATACAATTAACTTATTTCCTGGTTGTTTGTTTGTAGTGGCGAGGGAAATCCCCTCAATGTAAAAAAGCTTTTGCTGAACCCTTGTTGTCATCAATAAGCTCTCCTACTAAAATAAAAAGGAGCTGCCTCATGAGCTCACTGCTTTTTCTCCAGCTACTGTACAGGAACCTTAACTTTTGTGTGTTAATCTTTTGTCTCTGAAAATGCTCACCAAGGCGCATCTTTGTAACTACCACACCGACGGAAGTGTGACACATTTTCAAGTGCATTTAAAAACCTTGAAAGGATGCATTCCCAAACTGAGATGGAATTCATAGACAGTGATGGAGACTGAGGCTGTGTTCCCACCGTAACACGAAAACCAAGGAACTTTTCGGAGCTCGATTGGAGGCCCTGGGGCACTGAAGCTAAACTGAAGAAAATACAAAATAACAGTGAAACTGAGGTCAATATGAACAGTAACTATTACTATATTGTTTATTTTCTGTTGATAGACATCCTTTTACTTTGTGCTGGTTTTTTTACTTACAAAATAATCACATGGTTCTGCACTAAAACATTGAGACAAAAGTCAAATTAAGAGCATGTATATTTATATCAGACAAAATGAACATTTAAAAACGTCTGTTGTGTCAAGTAGCTATTTTTGTAATTCTGCTAATGCAGTCAGTCACTCTTATTCATATCCATGAGTTATCATTAACTTAAGTGCAGAGATTAATTTCATATTGTGAGAAACTGTTGATAGCTAATTATACTCCTGGGATACTTAATATACTGTATCGCAACAAGTATTTGGGATCGTATGCATAATCCTACTCTTAAGTATAGTTTATTTTTCAAGAAAATGAAGAGACAAAACAATTCTATTGTTTACATCTAAGTCATTCTGGACTTAGATTTCTATAATTTAAACAAAATATCTGACAAAACAACCGTTTTGTTTTTTTAGCCAAACCACATTTGACAATAATAAATACAATTTGGGGAACAGATCACACCAAAGAGGTTTCAAATAAAGGTTAATCTTGACCATTCAGTTACTAAAGCCTAAAGTGCGGGGGCAATCGGAGCAGACATGCCCGTATGTCAGTAACAGCCCCAGGCAGTTTGCCCATCGTCTCCCATCGCTGTGTGATCGGTTCAAACCTGTGGACCAGTCCAGACTCACTGCAATCGTCCTGGCAGTATCCTCCAAGAACATATATCTTCTCCTCTAGGACAGCGGAGGCTGCGCCCACATGAGGAACAGGCAGAGAGGCGAAAGCAGTCCAGGAATCAACCACAGGATCGTACACCTCACAGGCCTGTTGGTCAGTGTAAGACGTCCGCAGGTTACACACACCACCGGCGGCGTAAAGATGGCCTCGCAGTGGCTCCATGCAATGCTGGGCCCGATCATGGGTCATGTCTGCCAGGTAGGTGGTTCCTCTCTCTGGGTGGTACAGGAACATGGAAACCAGACACATGTACTTACAGTTGAAACCTCCAGATATGAAGATTCTTCCATCTAGGACAGTGGCCGCATGGCCGCTCAGAGACTGGTCCAAGGGCTGCGTAAAGCTGGGAAAATTAAAACAAGGTGGAAGTGGAGTTAAATCTATCTCCATAATAGTCCATACTCCAATCCTTAGTTTAAGGCAGTGCTTCTCAAAGTGTGGTCCTGCGGACCACTGTTGGTCCGTGAGCACCCCCTAGTGGTCCATGAGTATATCGGTACAATTTCACATTTTAAATAAATAAATAAATTTAAGTTTTCCGCACTCTCGCGGGAATATCTCCGTAATAGAGCAAGCTTACGTTTCACTTTCGATTGCATGACATAGCCCAGCGCAACACCTTCATCACACATGTTGCCACTTGTTTGTACCATTTTCAGGCGATTTATAATCTGTTCTAGAAAAACGATGTGATTTGGGATATTTGTGGAGTTTGGTGGTCCGCAAGTTTTTTTTTATTGGTTAAGTGGTCCTTGGTATGAAAAAGTTTGAGAAACACTGGTTTAAGGTGATTTGACACTAATGAAAACATAGTAATAAAAAACTATACTTAATCCGCTAATAGATACCCTTAAATACTACACATTGTTCCTTTAATAAAGACAGTAGATGTCTGGCATATTTATTCAATGTCAACATTCAATGGTTTTTGGTATGAAGGGAACAAAGGTTTCCAAGGCACTGACACATTTAGTATTTGATAGAGTCAAAATGGTGTCATCTGCTGGCCATCATTTGTTATTGCATTTGTATAGAAGGAGAGAGATTCAACATATACAGGTAGGTGAAGTCACAGTTTTCATCATTGATATTTGATCAATATTATGAACACTGGCCAATTTTAAACAGTATATGTCTACTTGTCAATATTGGGACATATTCCCAAGCATGATATATTGCTTTTATACAAAGCGACCTACAACAAGTGAAATAAACCATGAAGATACTAACTCAGAACAGCAAGAAATCTGAAAGTATATTCACTTCAAATAAGCCAAACTGTGTATTTATATTTTGACCTACATCCTCTTTAGGATTTAGGACACTTTGGAAAGGAACCCAATGCTTTTGAGCAAAACTCTACAGATATTGTCTGTTTTAAGAGAAACGTCACTAATCTTACCTCCAGGAGTCAGTGTCTGGGTTGTACACTTCAACGCTGCCTACGTTGGTATTGATCTCCTTATCTCCACCAAAGGCATAAAGACACCCCTCTTGTACCACCACTGAGAAGTTGCTTCTAAACTCCAGCATGTCAGCTAGCCTCTTCCAGCTGTCCTGCACAGGGTCATAACTTGCATGTGCGCGATGAAGGTAGAGACGAAAAAGGTGAGACCAGTTTTGTGCAACTATGTGACAATATATTATTGAAATTAGGAAAAGCATATTTGCAATTACCTGTAGGCAGATTTCATCATGTCATCCTTGTTGTAGTAGTAACAGCCTCCAATCACATACAACCTTCCCAGTAATGCTGCGAGTCCATGCCTGAACTTTGGCTTGTCTGGCATCTCTCCCAGCCTCCTCCACTCCATCGCCTTCACCAACCCTGGGCCACTGCGTAGGGAGTTTGCAAACCAAAGTTCCTTGTTTGGTATGTGCTGAAAACCATCTGGGTTCAGCTGGTCTCCACCAACCACAACCAGAGCGTCTTTGGGATGCCGAACCCGGCACGGATCCTGGGTTTCGGGAAGGCTAAAACCAAATTCCTTGAGTGCTGAACCATAGAGTTCCACCTCCTTGTTTCCAAAGCACTCAATGCGTAGGTAAATGGCTCTGACCTCTCTGAACTCTCGAAAGGTCATGAGGGGGAACCTTACTCCGGTCATCAGTCGGCCAGCCTGGCCCAATCTCTCCTCAGGATCAGCCTCAACCCATGAGATTACAGCTCGAAAAACAGTCAACTCTGAAGGCACGCACAGTTCATCGCAGTGGATGATATCTAGAAGCTTCTCTGCCGGTAAGTCCTGAAACTTTGGAGTGAGTGACACCTCCCAGAAGTTCCTCCGTACAAAGTCATTGGATTCCACGAGCAACTCTGACATCTCGTAGGCTTCAGCAAAAGAGGCCACGTCAAGGCAGGAGCTTGCTTCCATTTCCTGTCGCATGAAGTTGAGGCAAAGTGAGAGGGCAGGCTGGAATTGAAGCTGGAGGGCCGTGCATGTCATCTCGAAGACACAGTCCCAGCTAAGTGGAAGCGTGCCACTGTAGGAGCATCTGATCAGAACGTCTAACTCAGACGCAGATATGAAGGGAAGGGAAATACGGGTTTGATGTGATTCTCTCATACCACAGGTGAACATGCCACGGAAAAAGTCACTGCTTGCTGCAAGGATAACTCTGTGGACTGGAAACAAAAAAAAGAAGTGTTTAGTAAATGAAATCATTAACAAGACACCTACCAAGAAATGGTATGATTGTCTACTCACCATAGAAAACAGCACCGCCCACATCTAAAATCAAGTTACACCCGACTATGTCCAGCCACAACTTCTCAATGGACTGAAGAGTTATCTTCATCTGTTCTAGGGCAGAGTACTTTCGCTCTTCCTTCTTAGGACTTCTACCTTCATTCATCCTCTCCTCTTTGCTGCAGAATTCCAGCAATCTAGGGATGTCCAGTGCTTGAGCTGCAGCCACAATCGAGGTCATGCTCTCTCTGTTCAAGGACAATACGGCTCCAGTGTAGGCAAACTCCAAAACTGCCTTCAGCCCAACAAGATCAACCTCAGGAGACAGAGACACTGACCACTTTTGGTCGTCGTCATTGTGTATTCGTTCTTCATTTCCATTCCTCAGCCTCTCTTGGATAAAGGAACTGATTGCAGCGAGGATGAGGGAGTGTACGTTAAAGCTTTTTCCATTATGAGTGGTCAGAGTCAGGTCAGTCAGAAGAGAAGAATCCAGGAATTCTTTCAAGGCAATGAATATCTCTTTAGGATAGGTTTCATTTCGGTATGTGTGGACATTCCCAAGTCCTTCATGCCCGAATGTGTCCTCATGCATATTCTGCTCAATTCCTTCCTTACAAGTACCAATCATCCTGTCCTCGGACCCCTCTTTCTTTCCCATCCCACTCGTGAGCCCCATTCTGGAGTCATTGAAGGCCACAATCCTCCGCAGCTCACGGTTGTCCTGTTCAATCCCTTCTTGGCCACCATCTTCAATCGCTCTTTTCCTCCGATCTTTCTCTCTCCTCCATTGTTCTTCCCATTCCATTGGAAGGGTACACCGAGTGAAGTCCATGTCTGCGGATAGGCGTAATTTTTTAACTAACTCCTACCCACAGTTCTTAGAATTACTGATGAAATACAGCACAATATGTTATCTTGAATTCCTTTAAAGATTAACCTTTTATTTAACATATTAACTTTGTCTGCCTCCCCAGATCTTGCTGTCCCACTCTTATCCACCCTCTCTCTATCTCGGATTCAACTTTGCTCACTGCAAAACAAGCAGCTATTCATAGCAACTGGGTCACAGAGATCAAGTGGCAGCCAAATCTTGGCCTTAGGTCGTTGAAATGTTCATCAAGGAGGAACATAGGGATTCATTTGAGTTAATTGCAGTCAATCAAGAGCCAGATAAAATACTTCCCTAGCATTGACCTCAACTATGACCTTGACCCAGAAACAAACAATTGTTAAGGAGCCGGACGGAAACTAGGTGTTTTTATGGGAAATTATTGCCTATTTTGTACCTCGTGTTTATGGTTATTGCTCATAAAATTATTTTCCACAAAGGATTTTTCATCCATAAACTATAAATACAAATAATTAACCAGGACTCATTCATCAGGTGTGATAAAGGCTACAGAGTGTGTTGTATATTGTGATAGAAAAAGATGATATGGACTTTTGGCACCAACACGAGAGGTTTTTAAAAAATATATGAATTCCTGAACCCAAAAAAAGACCCGGAAGAAGAACTATACATTAACCATCTGACTCCATGTCCAGATAACACATTGTGAACTCTGTGCCAGTGGAAAAGCTGTGTGTTTTTTTATTAAATGGAGCTACTGTGCAAAATCCAGTTTGTTTGAGCTTAACCAGCTCACCAGTTGTTCTCCACCAAAATCTCTTCTATCAAGTAGGACATTTAGATTATTATCTTAAACGGACATTTTGTAGACATTATCAACAACGTCGACAAAACAAAAGCAATTGACACATTTCCAATGAGGAAATAGGTCAAGTGTTTTATGTTATCTGTTTTTCAGCTTTGATCTACAGTATGCAATAGTTTTGACAAATGATTAACCTGGACCTTTTATAAATGGATGTCTTCACTGTCAGTAAACAGTCCTTCCAATACATTTAACAAGTGCTTTTCAAGCTGAACAATGGAGAGACTGTCAGTGACCATGGTTGTGTGGTTGCTTGCTGCATCACAATGCCAGGCTGGAGGAATTGACCATCTGAACCAGGAGGCGAAAAATGAAATCCATGCAAACAACTGGGTAGAGACGGATTCTCTCCAGATTTTAAACCAAGGGCTAGAAGCACCAGTCATATTGACCACAAACTCAACAGAAACCCTTCCAAGCTGTGAGCGACCCATCTACACGGTGCTTAAGGAGCTGGGGGCTCTCGAAGAAAAGCTTGCGGCTACCGTGCGAACCCTGGAGGAAACAAACAAAAAGCTGGAGGCCAGTGAGAAGAAGTTGTCTGATCTCGACAGCAGGGTGACTGAACTAAGTGCAGTAGATCAAGGTAATAAAGTATAATATACTTATAACCTGTAGTGGGCTTAATTATTTTAGTATGAACATAAACCAAAGCTTGAGTTGCACATCATTTATTTTGGCAGACATACATTTATGTAATGACTCTTTGGTATTATCTCTAGCCTTCAAAGTGATTTCCTTTTAAGGGTCAAAGCTTCTTTGACATATTGTGTTAATACAGGGGGATGAGGTCTCAAACAGACAGGCAAAAAGGAACAGTTCAGGGTTTTAGTGAGAAAATGAAGAAAACATGAGCATACTGGCATAGGTAAACAAGTCCAATCACAAAAAACAGAGTCTATCGGTAAACAGAACCAAATAGGAGCAAGTGAGCAGATACAAATTCTGGTTAGGTTCTCAAAATCAAGGCACGAAACAACACAATGTCAAGGAGATCGGTCAAATGACAGGGGAATGACTGGTACATTTGGGTTACTAACAGGCTGATAAGGGGAAAGCAGAACAGGTGAGCCGCTGGGCAGGGGAGGGGTTACTGCAGCTTGAAGAGAGTGGCTGGATGTGGGAGTTTGAAGTCTGCGTGCATCTGCTGGGTAGAAGGCATTAGCGAGATGTAAAGGCACCCTTTTAATTATCTCTCAATATTGTTATATTTTGTTTGTCTCTCAGGAAGGCCTCGGGTTGCATTTTCAGCTGCACTTCCAGTAGATGGCACCATTGGTCCTTTGAATGTCCATTACACTCTGGTGTACAAACGTGTTCTTTCAAACATTGGAGAACGTTACAGCCCAGTCTCAGGTCAGTATTCAATGTCCTACAATTTCACTCGTTCAACTTACAATCACACCACCTATGGAAGTATTGCAGGTTTGATATACAAACTTTTGTTTTTCCTTCTCTCTCTTTCATTTCTCTACAGGTTATTTTACAGCACCGGTGCAAGGAGTCTATTATTTCACCTTTACATCCCACTGTTGGGCTGGTAATGCAGACTGTGGTAGCAGTTTGTTCCTAAATGATAACCAAGTAGTGTCATGGTATAGTTCAGATGATCATAACCCCCACTCTGGTTCTAACAGTGCTGTCTTGCAGCTGCAAGTTGGAGACAACGTGAGTGTTCGTGTCTGGCACAATTGGAGGATTAGTGATAATAGCAATAAGTACTGCTCCTTCAGTGGATTTTGGCTTTTCCCTTTGTAAAATAAAATAATTGAGCAGTCGGTTTTTTATCAGATCAAACGTTTAATAAGGTAAAAAAAGGCTGTGACTTTAGCTTAAAACACTTGATGTTGTTTGTTAGTTAAAAATGAGAATACAATAGTTTTTTTTTTCTTACCTGATTCGTGTTGGAACACAATGGAATTGATAAGACTTGCATTTGCATAATTTCATGAATTAAAAAAACAGCTTTTTAACTGTTTGAATATTTGTTTTGGAAGATATGTTAAAATGGTTATATTCTGTACTCGTTCATGATTTCTAAATGACACAATTGCCAATATTTCTCGATACCTTTGAATCATAATGTACAACATCAATCTTTATATCATATTTTTTTATTTTCATTGTTGAGGATGGTGCCCTGCCTCTCAAATGGACAATTAAAGTGCATTTATTGGAAAAACATTGAAAATAAATCGTTTTTTCAATTCAATATGCATAATGTTGAACCGGTTACCTTAACTAAATACATAATGTTTAAAGGCAATTTAAAAAGGAAATAAAACCAAAAATAAATACTTCCAAAATACTGTATTAAACATTAAAATGAAATAAATGAAAGGATAATAACCCTTAAAATAAAAATCGTTGCATGATTGAAGTTATTGCATACCGAAACTTTTAAGCACTAGCATTACATTTTACTGTGTGGCACATACGGTGTTCAGCTTTGGAAGATATTAGGTTCAATTAAAGGATCTCCCAAATGAAAAGTGTTAAAGCTTTGTCCTTCAATACAATGCTGTTGAATACACATGGAGGATGTGTTAAATGGCATCTCTTCTATTTGTCACAACATCTGATTGTTTTACAGTTATTTAAAAGTGCTTCTGAGATACATCTCTATTCCAAATCAGCTCACGAAAAAAAAGATATCTATAATAGAATCTTTATGGCACATTGCAAAGTGTAACAAACCATTTGTTTTAGTTACACTCAGCTGAAGGTGATAAGGTGTTCTGGGTAGGCCTGGTCATCGTGGAAGATCACGAACATGGAGGGGTTCTGCTGGTTGTCCACACAACTGTCGAAGCAGTCAGTTTTGTCTGAGCCTCGAGGAGGGGGGGCTTTCAGATCAGAATGGCCGATGGTGTAGCGACCGGTCAGGACTCGAGCCACGTACAGCCTCTTCATGCCTGACGCGTCTGCCGGGGAAAACCCGGCAGCCGAATACGCCGCAGTGACTGCAAAGTACACTCCCTTTCCAAATGCAGCAGCTGTGATAGAATAAAAAAAAGACAATATTATATATAGCCCAATGGCTACTACAATCAGCAGATGTAGTAGCCATGCTTTTTGACAGGTTAGAAAGCAAACATATCTGTAATATGTAATTTTGAGTGGTAGCAGTTCCAATGAAAGATATATACAATCTATTTTTCACTAGTCAAGTTACTAGCTTTTGATATCAACATTTCTATTCTTACATGCTCATGTAGATATCTTAACTCATAATAAGTATAAGTATATATAAGTCCTTAGATTTTTCGACACTAAGCCTAAGAGTTGACAAAGCCGCTGTCCCAGAGAACTGCTGTGATTCCCCTCTGTATAATCTGCGCTACACATATGCTCGTATTGTAGTACTCTTGGTGTCGCTATCAGATTGCAAGCACTATCTGTTCCTGCAGTGGTTAGCTTGTCTGCTATCTCTCACTCCTGTGCGTCTTTAGGAAACTAGCCAGCTTCAGCAAAATGCCTTTTCACCGTTATCGTCACACATGAGTTTTGCAGTAGTGATGGTTTTTACTGAAGTCCTGTAGTCTCCAGTCAGTTCAAAACATGGAGCTTATTTTAGCCAATTCTTGCCCATTCTTTGCGTTTAAACTGCCATGCAATCCACGGTAAACATCCATGCTGTAAATACGGGTCAAACTTGTGCTTTATTTGCGTTCGATTCCTTTTGAGGCGTAAAGTTTTCCAGATAAATCAAGAGTGTGAACAGTGTCATCCCCAGTTAAAAAAGGCTTGACATATATTCATTTGGTTGCAGAGAACATCCAAACGAGTCAAATTGTAGCCAGAAGGAGGTTAGCTTAGCATGTTAAAGCATTCCTTACCATGTGCTCCTGCAAAGTTCCTGTCAAATTTGCCCGTTTCAATGCAGTTGCAAGACTCTGCTGATGTGCCATGGTAGAGAAATTTCTCCCCATCCCCAGCTGTGTCATTCTTAGCTAACAAACGCTTCTTGAGCACAGTATAGCCATACCACAGGTAGGGGTTTTGCACTCGTTCAATCTGGGATCAGAGAAGATGAATGTATTACTTATTCTGTACGGTAGGTGTTACATACTTTCTCACAAAATAAATATTGACATGTCATTGTAGCAGAAGCAAAGGTGTAAATAATAGAATTCAAAAGGCGTATTTTGAGAAACTTGTTTTTTGTGTCATCATACTCACTTTGTGAATGTTGTATTTAGCCGTTTGAAGGAAACCCTTCTCTATATTCTTGTACTCTGAAGACGAAGGCTGCAGCTCCACCTTTTTGAAGTGTCCTCCATGCATAGGTTCCCAATGTTCCGGCAACACCAAGGCTGATAAAGAAATAATATGTATTTTACACATTGTTGCAAATTCAAAAAACAGAAATCAATTGAAAGAAAGTTTAGTTTCGTAAAAAACAGCATACTTGTGTCAGACTCGTTCCTTTTCACTTCGAAGGTGATGCCTGTGAGCTGGTTAGTGGCTTTACTTTCCTTCAGGTTCACGGACACCTTTATTCTGTCTGGTGAGGTGATGTCTACAAAAACTTGTTTCTTCTTGTGAGCCTCCTCCAGAATGTAGTTGTCGTGCAGGCTCAGCTCGCGCCAGACTTTATTCGTATCCTGAATCGACCACTGGACATCAAGAGCTAACATTGCTTCATTATTTTCTTCGATGTCTTCGCCAAGGGCTTTTCTGATTGCTTTGTTTATAAGCTCGACGATGGTCAACACGTCCTCTTTCAGGCCTTTCAGCACATACACCTCTGTTCCTGACCCTGAACGATCTCTAGCTTCTGCTCTGGCCGAGTTTTTTGCTCTGTTCCCATTCCGACCTTCAGAACTTTGACGTTTCTTGTATTCCAGGCTCACTTCTAAGACTTTGAGCTTTGCCTGCACTGCCTCCCGCTCCATGTCATCAAGCCTGGAGAAATCCTCCACATCTACGTCTTTCTCCATCAGCTGATTCTGCAGGATCCCCTCCAAATCTCTCTTCATGGTCCTGATGATGTCGGGACCACAACCAATCACAGTTATCACAGCTGGAGGTGGCTTTGAGGATGCGAAGATTTTGTCTTTAGGTGTTGCAGTGGTCCTTGTTCTTGTCTCCTGCCACTTCCTGTGCATTTGTTTAGCTTTTTCTAAGCAAGAAAAAGAAACAAAGGATAAGATAGTCTTACACACACAAAATCTACTTAACTGAGAATGTTGTTCCCATCACTTCATGAGCCAAAATAACTATATACCAATGTAACCTTTTTGTTTGTTGATGACAACAATGTACATGACATATTCCCTAAACATTTAAATAGTGTCTTCATGAAAATAACCATTAGGGATGACATTAACAAAGTCAAAGTTTATCATTTACAAATTATGATTGTTTGCAATGAATTTGGGACTGTTCAAATAGTTACTTGTGACGCCTGTCCAGCACAAAGTATCACATTGTCCTCACTTATAAATGAAAACAAACCTCTTAGGCTTAGGTGGCGAGTGGCTGTTTGTCCAAAGCGGTTCTCCAGCTCTGATCTGAAAAAACACAAAAGAAAAGAGCTTTGAAACAAGCGATTCTGACAGGTCGAACAATGCAACCCATGCTACAACGCAAGCTTTACCTTCCATTGTGTGAGTGAGGTTTATATCTGACCTGAAAGCCTGAAAGACCGATTGCTGGAAGATGACAATGCGGATACGTTTGAGGGAACTTGGTTTCAAGTCCATAATAGCTGAAGTCATGCCATCCAGCAATGCTTTACATGCTTTGGTCAAGTCCATATGAGCTGCACCTGATGGGATATGAAGACACCAATGATGCTTATTATACCGCTGCAGTGACTGGTTGGGACCTTTATTTTGAAATGTGTCAAATTGGCATCATTGTTTTCTAACTTGGAAATAACTGAATGGCTCTTCTTCTACTTGAACATGTAATTATGTATATATTTGTGAAATTTGTAATCAAGTTAACTAGATAGAAAATCATACAACATTTGGATCATTAAGACACATTTGGTGTCAAACATAATGTAAAGTACACATTAACACACACAGTACTAACCAGTGTTAACAGCAGGGAAGGACACTGAGCTGTACCCTTTGCTCTCACAGAGCTTCAGTATCCTTTTGCAATTATTACGAATCACTTCATGGTCACTCTTGAAACTAGCATGTATGATTTCCTTGCAGGCAAGCCCCCCGGGTCCTGTAGTACACATCAAGTCTGCAGGAATTCCCACTGCCAGAAAAAATGACATTTAAAAACCATCATGTTGGATTGTGTATAAAATGTTGGTTTTGTAAAAATGAAGCCATGTGCAGCACACATTTAAAATCACATTTGAAGAACATCTCCGCAAGTAAATGTGATTTATTATCCGACTCTGTCCTACTGTTGTGCGATGAAGTTTTGCGCTTACCTTGTGCCAATTGTCTTTGGACACTGGGCCCCGCTGCAGTCAGAATGGCTTTAGACACGCCTGTGGAGTTTTAAAACACACATTTACTTTAGGATCTTTTGTATGAATATGCTGTATATAAAGCCTAAACAAATATCACCAGTGTGAGGTGCCGTGGTTTCATTTAAATCAAAACATTTAGAAAATGAATCATACCAGATTGGTTGTTGGAGAAGTCAGTTGTGTTGACAATGACATCAGTGTTCTCCTTAGTGATGTCACCAACGGCCATCTGAAGCTTGATACCACCCAACATGGCTGTGACCTCATCGTTAGTTGCGGAGATATGGCGATAAAAGGAAGCTGTCATGTCAATCAAAAAAGAAAGTTCATTGTAAAAATACCTCCCGGCTCGTGTGACAGGCTTTTACAGTAGTATAATAGTAATAGTAGTTTCTTTCTATTCACGGCAAACAATACGAGCTATCATTTGAATTGTATATGGTATCTCTTTTCTTAACCACCGTGTACTTATCTGCTATTAGTTTTTTTGCTTATTGTGTTTTTTATTAATAATAACGTGTGCATACTTACGTAAGTCTATTCTCTTTACTTTATCTGCACTATGCTTCTGCTGTTGTAATAATGTAAATGTCCCCGTTGTGGGACAAATAAAGGAATTCTGATTCTGATCTGATATTTACGTAAAAGCAACTTGTAGCATGTTAGCATTAACTTAAAAAGCTTTAATATAGTGGTGGGTAGCCTATTTAATGTTTTTATTCCCTTTTGCAGCCTAACACTGTTTGTTACAGCCCTAGAAATTATAGAAAACAAGCAGTTTGTCAAAGTGTTGCTGAAAATAACTGAATATCCACAATAACCTTGGTCTGGGTCAGCATCGTTTGTGAACCCTCTGAGATGCATGGTGTCCTGGCAAGACTGGAAGGCCTGGAAAGACAGTGGAAATGGTGTTGTTCTGGTTCCACATGCAAAATGAAAAAACTGTTATATGTCTTTTTGTTACCAGGCATTGTTTTTACCTTGCTCGATTCGATGGATTGAACGATAATACGGACTAAGAAAGATGTTCCAGTGATTCGGTTATGTTCAAATTGACGGACTTCCTCCATTATAACCCTCGCTGCCACGCTGTGAGGGAAACGTAGAGCAGCACCGACCCCCAGCACAGGGAGAGCAACTGAACTGTAGCCACGGATCTGACACGAAGCCAGCATTTTTTTGATGCCATTTCTCAAGACCTGGAAGATTCAAGCATTATCAAGATCAGTACACCCCTTTTTTTTATTGAGTAGGAAAAACTAAACAAAGACATACAATCTAGTTGCAGATTGGTTGCATGGCCTCACCTGGACAGCAGTTCCCTGTTGGTTATTATCCCAGGGAGTGAGGTTGATGAAGAACACTCCTCTAGATTGAAGTGCAGGCAAGCCCTCCACCAGGATTATTTCACCAGGGATTGTAGCTCCGCTTGCTTCGTTATGAAACTTTACAGTCAGCTGAGGTCCTACCATGTTGGACAAAAAGTTTCCAACACGGGAAGAGAGAGGATCATGGCCAACCATGGGGGACACAAGGCCATCCACCTAGGAGAATACAATCATCTAATGACATCCAATTTATGGTTTAAATGACCGTTGTTTACATCAGTACACAGCAATTACAGCAGATTAGCTTGTGAAACATCCTTAATCAAGTGACCAAAGTTACATTAATGCATCATCTTAGCGTAGTTGCTCACCTGCTGGTTCTCGATAGATCCCTGAATGATCTCCACATGGACAGCCCCTCCAGGAGCCCCAGCAGCGGCTCTTCTTGCTGCGTATTGGGCAGAAGCATCCATTTGAAACCCCAGACCACTTGGTGCCCTGTTTCCGGTACTTGTTCCTTGGAGAAGCCGATCACATGCATCCTTCATGGACCTCACCACCTCTCCTCTGTTATCAATCAGGATGATTCTTCTAAGACTTCGCCCTCCCTGGCTGCAAAACTCCTTTACAGCAGTTACAATAGCCTCAGAGCACACAGCCACAGGTACACCAAACAAACCTGAGCTGATACAGGGCATAGCTATAGACCTGAACTCCATCATCTCGGCTAAATTCAAAGCAGACTTGACAGCTTTTTCCAGTAACACCCTTTCTTGTCCACCAGCTTTTCCACCTACAGGCCCAACAGCATGAACCAGTCTCTTGCAGTTTAAGTTCCCCCCTGTGGTCACTACCGCGTTACCAGTGGGAATTTTCCCTGTCTGCTTTACTAAAGCTGTGCTTTCCTTCTGCACCTGAGGGCCACCTGCTTTAGACAGTGCTGCAGCAGCCCCTCCATCATGGTCCAGAAATTCGTTGGCAGCGTTCACCAGGGCATCAGCTTCCTGTTTGGAGATGTCACCCTGGCACACAAGCACCTGGACCCCGTCACGAAGGCTGTAGCTAGCAACTGTTGTGTTTACTTGACCTGCGCCTGCATCAGATGCAAAAGTCTGTCTAGTAGCGTAAGCTTGTTCTTGAAGCTGTACGAGACACTTCTGAGAATGAGCATGTCTTAAAATGTTGTCCCTTCCAGAGCTGCTTTCAATATACCGCACTGCCCCTGGCAATTCAATGGTGACTCTGCCCTTAACAAGGGAGTCAACAAATGTACCGAGTCTATTCCTAACATCAGTCACTTTGCCAGATGGACCTTCCAGCAACATTGTGGGCCCAGAGGAAGATATTAAAGGACAGAAGGTAACCCCTGAATAATCAAAACCATGCAGCTGCAAAAATTCTGGTAACTCAAGCACTAACTCTGGGTAAGGGAGATTGACTTTGCCCTCTATGCTAGCATGATCCAAAATAAACTGTATGACAACTTCATTTAGCTCTTCAACCTCTTTGGTGTGCCCAAGTAAGAACACACTGCTGTCTGCGCCAAACACGACCTTGGACCTGTATTGCCCTTGGTTCATCTCCTTTGTCTCGGACTTCAGCTTTTCCTGAAGCTCAGATGGCACAGTGGAGCAGTTAGGAACATCAATCTTGACTTCCTTGAATTTTTCCTGTAGTTTTCGTTGGATATCATTCAATTTATCAGCAGAGAGACTGAAGAAACGCAGCTCCGTTTCCCGTAACTCTACTTCGGCATTGTCACTAAACCCTAAGAATTGTCCAAGCACCCCTGGACCTCCGTATTCATTTCTCAAGAAGGAAAGAAAATGTGGGCTCATGTCAGAAACTCTCCTTTGGAACACCAACTTCTCCTGATCAGAGATCCAATCTTTAGCCTTAAGAATATCCTCGACAGAGCCTTCCAAATGCAACTGACCTGGAGCTCCCTGCGTGACCTTCACTCCTGGAAAGTCCTTTTGCAAAGTGTGCTCAATCTCCTTCCAGACGAGGCGGAGCTTAGCCTCGCCCAGTCGACAAATGCAGGTTTCCCTCTCAAGTAAACGTGGCCTTTGTTTACCAAGCAAGGCACCTACATCCATCAACTTGGCGTTCACCTGAGAACGCTGCCCAACAACAATTGCCATCCCATTCTCGCTGTAGACCTTAACGTCATTGGTGGTCTGAAGAGAGTTCCTGGACTCAAGCAAAGCTACAACTTTGTGACGGTCCACCTCACAGTGGCACAGGTAGCCATCAAAGAGTTGGTCAACCTCTGCTTTCCAATCTCTAACATAATCTGCAGCACCAGGTTGAGTTAAACAGCTAACTAAAACCCTCCCTTCCTCTGGGTACAGCTGAGCAGAGCAGGCCAAAGAGACTAGTTCTATCTTCAGTCCTTCCCAAGCCTTTGGGCATTCCTTCAGGTATTGTAAAAGGTAAGTGTCAGGTTGTAGTTCATATTCTTCAGGCGGTTCCTGATGGAAACATATATAGTTTCATTTTTAATACAGAACCGTTTTAAGGAGTTATGGAAGTTCAATCAACAAGACACACAACATATGACATCTATGAACAACACCATTTTAAATGAAAGTGCTGGGATGCTTTAACAATTAATTGGAAATACCATAAAACTAGTTTTATACACAATCATTTTCAATTGTTCGTATCAAACTGAATGGGTTTATTTTGCTCTGAGACACTAATTAGGAAGACTTTCCACACTGACCTGTGATGAAGTTGAGTCCAGTTTTGGGCTAACTAACTTGCTTGTAGTTGGGGTAGTGATGGGTGAGAAGGTGGGGCTTGCTCGCACATTCAGCACCAGACGAACATCTGCAAACTTTACTTCATGTTTAGATTTCTGCAGGACTCTTTGCTGATCTGAGACAGAAAAAGGAGACATTTTAGGCCCTTTGTCTTGAAAGCATCACCAGAGAGACTCAACAATAACAATGAGATGTAAAAATCAACAAAAAAATAAAAGCATACATAAAGAGACACGAAATAACCCAAACTAAATTAAAAACAACTACAAACTGACATGAAACAACCACAACGAGATGTAAGCTTAAAAAAAGAGACTCAAAACAACAATGAAAAGATTGAAGCCTCTACAAAGAGACGCAAAACAGCACAGAGCTGTTCAACGACCACAATCAAATAAAACCATCTTTTAACAGACAAAATAACCCAAACTAGATTTAAAACGACCCCAAGAGATGTAATAAGCACCCACAAAGATAAACAAAACATCTCAACACATATTAAAGCATCTACAGACCCAAAACAACCACAAGGGGGTGCAAGACAACTACAAAGAGACACCAAACACCCAAAAAATAATGCAATATGAACTACAGAGAGACAGAACAACCATTAAGGGATGCAAATTACCAATAAAATAAAAAAAGAATCAAGAAAGAGACACACAACATTGACAAGAGCTGCAAAACAACAACAAAGAGACACCAAACATCAACAAAAGGATGCAATATGAACTACAACGAGACAAAACAAGCATTAAGGGATGCCAAATGACCAATAACATAAGAAAAGAGACAAATCAACCACAACGGGTGCAAAACAACTACAAAGAGAAACCAAACACCTACAAATGGATGCAATAATGAACTACAGAGAGACAAAACCTAAACTAAAGACTAAAGTAGATAAGACAACTGCAAACAGACACACAACGACCACAAGAAGGGCGTGCCAAACATTCACAAAGAGACACCAAACGCCCATTAAAGAATGCAATATGAACTATGCAGAGAGGCAACATAACCCAAACTAGATTTAAAACAACTAAAAACGGCCTTAAAACGACCCCAAGAGATGGAAGCAAAGAGAAACAAAACATCTAGAGACATATTAAAGCATCTACAGACCCAAAATAACCACAAGGGGGTGCAAAACAACTACAAAGAGACACCAAACGCCCATAAAAGAATGCAATATGAACTATGCAGAGACAAAACAACCATAAAGGAATGCAAAATGACTACATAGACATAGAACCAGAAAGAGGGGCAAGCCAACTAGAAAGAGATTCAAAAACAGACGAGATACAAATCCACTACAAAGACCTACAAAGTGACCAAGAGAAAAGCAAAACAACACAATACAAAAATAATTATGCAAAGCCAGACACCAGAAAGTATACAGTTGACGAACACAATACAATTTGTTTTAATATGCTGAGTCCATGGTTCATTTCGTACTTTTTGAGGAGCAGTCTGAACTCCCTGTGAAAGTGAAACTAAAAGGATAGGTTTATAAATTATAAAAGAGAACGTTGATATACAGCACAGTGTGAAAGAGAGGAATATCGACACTGAAAAGGTATAGATATGGCTCTGTAAGCAGAAACATAAATCTGTCTGTTTGATTAAAAAGCAGAAACTATGGAATGATATCAATATGTTTACAGTGCAGCCATACTTTCACTTTCGTCAGCCAAAGCACTACGTATTTAAAGAAAAAAATCGAAATGACCCTGTGAGCGGACATCATTTAAAAGCTTACCTGCTCTGTCATTAAACGCAATTCGGTACACTTTATTTTCTTCGTTTGTTATCGAACCGCAGTCACCACCTCCTGATTTGCGACGATTTCGAAAGTAAAGTTCTGCCCTCTTTTTACTTTCTCCCTCCAGATTAGGACACTCGAAGAAAACGGGATACTGGAAAGCGTCATCCATAGTCTGAACACTTGATAAACTAAACAATTAAAATGTATAGCCACATTAAAGGACGATTAAACACTGGGGTACCCGGGTTGAACGCAATCGTTTCAAGTGCAGGCTCGGGCCTTTCCTTCAGAATTTAAACTAACGTCTCTCGAGCAAAATCACGCGTGACTGCAACGAGACTTATCACTTCCAGGAGTGTCCAGTTATTTAGTCAACAACGCATAATAATCTAACTAACACTTGCTGTGTAAAGCCCTACAGAACAACTTTGAAATCACACAGTTTATCAATAATCGGTGTAAAATTATGGAATGGATTTAACCCCATTGTCATCAACAATTCAAATCTAGATTTAGAAAAATAATATTAGCAGACTGCACAAATTTACAAAAAATGTCTATTCCTAAAATAAAATAAAGGGTAAAAAACACACCGCAGTGAGTGTCTGTCCTTGTGTTTGTGTTTTCCATAAAAAATAAAATAAATAAAAATAGGATGAGAACTACTGTATTGTAAGCATACATGGAATAGTATGAATTACTTGATTCTTTACCTTTTTTTATTTTTTATTGATTTGGTATTGCATTTCCCTTTTGCCCTGGAAATTACCTTTTTAAATCCTATCTTGAAATCTGAAGTGTGTGTGTGTATTGTGTGTGTTTGCCATAGGGCCTACATTGCAAGAACCACAAGCCCAGTCCATGGTTAACAGTTTATTAAATGTCAGAAGAAAAAAAATCAATTGTTTACATAAAATAAAAACATATTATAATCATGATTTTACATAATTTCAACCATTATTGCCCAATTTGAATTACATCTTGGAAATTAAAAACATGTGATAAAGTGAGTATATGAAATGTTTATTATAGCAAAGCAGAATAGGTTAATTATCTCTTGAACTCTACCAATGGGATACAACAAATACCTTAAGAAATAAAAATAAAAACACACTTTGAAAGGAAATATGACAATATTCTATATTGAATAAACAATGAGCACCAAGGCTGTCTGTAGTTATCTCACCCCGGCTATTATAAAGGAAGGAACTGAAAATAAATCATGTCCCCGGAATTTCTCAATGACTAATCTGCATTAAGTGATACCTTCATAAATGATGTTCTACCATCTTCAGATTGTGATTTATTTACCTGTCATTGTGCCATTAAAAAACCCAGAGAACAGTCAGTGTAGAGTAAGCCTATATAAATACACCGGTGGGTTTAAAAAATGTAGGCCTACTATAATGCGCAGATAAAATTAAGAGATTCCCCTTCTCTCCTTTCATACCACTTCCCATCTCTCTTCATGGCTGTGGCCCTGTCACAACCCTCAATCTTCTCTTCTTGGGCCCAGTTGTCATAGCAGACCAGACGATCACTGACCCAGAACCACAGATCCAGAGTGCAGGTGTAGCGCATTCCCAGCCAGACGAACTCAGTGTCGGCCATCTTGGCTTTCTTTTCGACCAATTTCTGCTGGTGACTGTCAGTGATGGAGACCAGGTCATGGTAGTTCTCTCTGCAGTAATCCAAGGCCTCATCCCAAGTCTTCTTCTCTTTGATCAGGATCACTTTGTCTGGCATTAATTGAAGACATTTAAGTAAACAAAGGGGGCTTTGTTGGTGTTTATTCAATTATTTAGATCCCTGTGCTTCAATATTACAAACATTGTTCATAGACAGAGAGGGTGGGTATAATTTGAGAGGAAATCTACTTTTTAAACAACTCAAGGTCAGAAGAACTCGGGAAAGTATGTGCATAACAATCTGTGGGGTGATTTTATGGAATGGTTTGGAGCAGAAAACAAACCTCAAATATAATTCAGTTTAAAAGGATGTACAGAAACACTTTTTTGGAAAACTATGAGAATGAAGAAAGGTGATTGAAGATGATACATTATTGTAAATGTATCTATAAATGTAAATATGTAAGAAGGAATAACTTGCAGAAATGATTTAAAGGATAATCATTGATCAGCAGTAAGTAAGGGGTGTGAATTAATAAGCATTTGCTTCCTCCTGCTCCCTTTCGGACACATATGATTTATTATTATTAATATGAAAATTTTTGTTGAATATCTAAATATTATTATGAATATTGATAAATATTGTATTTTAACAATACGGTATTCTGTTTTTCACATTTGTTATTTTTTAATCTGTTCGAAATATAGTTTGAAATGAAAATCAAATGAAATGAATATTGTCCAGCGCTCGATATCCCAATCATTGCTTGTACGTTTGGTGCTCATGTTAAATATCTTTAAGAATGTCTGAAGCAGATTAAGTGACCTTTTACCATAAAGCTAGCAATGTCATAACTCCAACATTAACATGATTAAAAAACCTAAATGTAGAATTAAATGAAACACTTAGCCTGCTATTACAACATTCATATTGTGTGAACAGATATCTGTGACATGACGAATCAATATTTCAGTTCTCAAAATATTTTGGTCACGTTTCTTTTAAATGTAGTATTTATTAGTATTTATTCCTGACAGAGCAGAGACAGTTTCCATAAGTGTAATGTTATGAAGAAATATCAATCAATCAAAGTCAATCACATTCAACACAGAATAAAATTCAACATGCATGCATAAACAACTATTTACGGTAATATTGTGGGATATACTTGTGCAAAACTCACCGTCATAGCAGTAGAAGGGTTTTTGATTTGTGCAGATGTCGGAGCTCCATTTTCCATTTGGTTTAGTAGTCATAGCACAATGCTTGTTTCCTTCATCTTCCAATGAGTCCGGATCCCAGTTTCTGAAAGAGAAATTCTTCCCATCTGACCAACTCCAGGTGTCTCTGAACAGGCCGATCCACAGATCTTCGTCAGAGCTCTGATCGATCAATGTTGTGAATTCTTCTGATCTGATCTGTTCAAGTCCACTGACCAGGTCAGTGTGCTTTTCTCTGCAGTAGCTCTGAGCCTGAAGCCAGTTCTTTGATTCATCAATTACAGAGTATTTATGTTGCCCTGTTTCTGTGAGAATAAACAGACACAGTTAAGCGTTACACATTCTTAGGATCTCCTCGTCGTCATATTTTACTACTTAAAACAGGTGAAACTATTATCAGTAACATTTGCATAATTCCTCTGATGTTTCACAATGAAAGTTTGTGTTGTATTACAAAGGTACAAATCCCATGCTACCCCTCATCGTTTTGTTTGCTTTTTAAACATTAACATTTAAGTTGTCAATCACAACAATGTATTATTTCCTTTTTTCTTTAATTGTCATCTTACAATATAGGATTGCACAACGTAGCTGTACCACTCTCCAGAATTTTTTTTTTTTTTTTAAACACTTCAATTACAATATAATTTGAACCACAAATAGGCAATGAAAAAGCAAACTAGCAATCAAGCAAGAATAAGAAAACAATAATACTTACCAGAGATAAATACGGTTACTTACATGGGCAATGTGTACAATATATGCATATAAATAGTATATCATATACATGTTTTAAATTATAGAGCAAACGTAGGTTATAGTTGACTGTATAAAGAAGAGGTGTGTGTCCACTAGACAGCATGATTTGCTGTTTACACATAGCACCATTATTAGCCACATATTCTCACCATTGTAGCAGATGAATTTATTATCTTCAGTGCAAGATTCAACATCCCATTTGCGATCATCATTCTCATCCATCTTAACACAGTTCTCAGGATCGTTTGGCTCTCCATTATCCCACAGTGCCTCAGATTCGTTGTACTCCACCCCCGGCAGAGACCAGCGCCATGGTTTGTGCAGCCCAATCCAGGCGTCTGTAGTCTGTGAAGAGTTACGCAGTCTCTCCACGTCTCTCATGTCAGACACTGTGGCCAGGTCAGTGAAATGCTCTCTGCAATAACTCCGGGCTTCATCCCAGGACATTTCCTTTTGAATGAAGTGGTACTCATAGAGGTGACATTTGAAGATGAAACACTGACCTAAAAACAGAGGGAAACAAATAAAAACATATATACTGCATTAGAAATCTTATTTCAAATGGGGGCTTTAAATGTAGATTGAAAGGTATTGATTTTAGAACGAAAAATGTAAGCAGATGATCCACTTACCCATCAGAATGAGCACAAAAAGACTCCACTGCATCGTTGCTCTGTTAGATGAAACTGATGTGACACAATTCTTCCAGGTTATAAAAAACACTGCTTCGGAAAGTGTTGTCTAATAAGGAAGGGGATGAAAAGAAATATGCAAACCACATGTAAAATACACAAAGAAAAACTGTTGTATACGAAAATGTAGATAATCTATATAAAAGCAGATGTCCTGGTGTTTGCGGTTATGATTATAATCATGCACATGCGATATATAAAATGAGAGGAACCAGTTACAATACGCAAGTGTGAATCAGTCAATTCCTGCCACACAAGGGTATGGCAACCTAAACATTTATTATAAAGAGTTTCTGTAACTGTGTCCACCCTTCGTGAAAGTTATAGAGAATTAAATGATAAGAAAGTATACTGAAGAAAAAAAGATACATTCACAATATAATGTGTACTCCTTTTAAAATGTTAAACACATGTAACATACAATAAATATCTCTAAGAACCAATAAACTCTATCAAAATAAGAGACATAACAGAGTTAAGCTTACGCTGGGTTCTTCTCTCCTCGCTTCACTCTCTGCGTCGTTCTGGTTTACACTTCTCCCAATAGACGTTTAATATGTCGCTAATTTACTGCCAGCATTTGAATATTACAACAGAAAATATTAAGGTCATTGATCCAAAGCAGAAGTCCATATCAGTTATGACAGGACATTTACATACAGTAATGTAATGGAGAAAACCCAGAGATGGGACACGGAAAGCTGACTGTCCAACACACATGGTTTGAAAAATGCCGAAAGCTACACTGATGAAAAGTTTGGAAATAACTACAGAAATACAATTCATACTAAGCTGATGTCCCGACGGTGTTTAACAACAGGGAGAATACATTTTGAACCAATTAAACCCAAATATTGTATCTTTTTTAATTTGTTTTACAGTCCAGAGTGTGTTTGTTTCGACCCATGGCGAAATATGAACCGAGTCATTGCTTTGTAATCAGCTAATTAATCTTTTTATATCTGTATTTATGATTTATTCAGTTGTATTTTTTTTTTTGCTTTGATTTTTTTTTAACTTACCTTTATGTAAATATATGAGGTTTATATTCTGAGAAAAATTCCTCTGTTGATTAAAAAATAATAATGTAAGTGACCCTGGAGCCTGTTAAATAGACTGCATTTGATACGGGGTTTTTCCAGTGTTTTATGAGCGCTCAAAGCGTTTTACATAAACAAGTCAGCATTCACCCGTTGTCACCTACTCATACAGAGGCAGACATTAATATTCACACACATTCAAATAACGTTTAGTCTTACGTCCCAGAGTGGTTCCTTAGGGGAGAACGGAGACAATAACATACAACAACCAATACAATAGAAGTGGTTCTAGACACATTTTACTAGGAGGGGCCGCAATGGGGCCACTAATTTAATGAGAGGCACATTTAATGAAGGAAGAAAGAGATTTTAAATGCTTTTGTTTAAAGTCATTGCGCATAATAAAGCATAAAATATCATTATTGGTGTTTGAATAAGTAACAGAGTTTGTGTCAATGACTTTGATATCATTTTATTTTATGGTTTTAATTTGGCCCAAGATACAGAAGAATACAAATAAGTTTGGGATAATAAATACATTATTTATGCAGCCACACTTAGTTTTTATTTCATTTCTTGATACTTGATGGTAATTTGTTTCAGTAACTTACTTATTAAATTACATCACTGAAATAAAGTACTTAGTATTTTACATTAATTGAATTATCATAGATTGTTATTTTTCGCTTGACATTGACACAAGAACCTGTTCCTTTTCAAATCTGCACACATTTGAATGCCTAGCTTCCAGTTTCTTCGACCAAAGCTTTGTGATTTTAAATACATTATATAACTGTTGTGCTTTCCCTCTTTACCAAGCCAGTCTGATTGAATGATTGTACAGAGTTTTGTTCTCCGTGTTAAACAAATAACCCCTCAACCTTCTATGACCTGAAAGCATAAAGGACCAATACAAAATATAGACATAATGGTCCAAGCAATGTATTACTGCCCAAATAAAGCTTTAGTGGCAGGCGATCCAAACTTTTGAATGTGATCAGGAATATGTGCTTTGGATGTATTAGTGATTCAGATAAATACAAAGTGTATCCACCAGAGAGCAGCAAAAAATGTTTTTTAACAAACTAGCTGTCCTTAGATTCATATGTTAAAATTGTAGTAGAACAACAAGTGAACTCTTATTTTTGTATGTCCTGTGGGCAAAAGACAAACATTACATTAACCATTTTTCTAGCTTTTTTTAATGAATTGACAGCACTAACATCAACACATTCATTACCATCATGGGCGTATCTCAATGAAACGGGATCATATTTTCCCAAACATGACACAAATTGGCTCTCACACCGGCCCCTAATTGTTAGCGACAGGCTAACAATTTCCACAAAAAACACAATCATACAGAATGTAAGCCAGAATGACATTCAACTGAGCCGAACAATGCAGGTGACGATCCTGAGAACTGTGTGGTAATCGCAGACTAAAGAAATAAGTAGCGATTACCATTGTTCTGGTAGACTTAAATGTATCTGCTACAATGGTGAGTATATGTCACTATTAACGCTATATCAATGATATCATACTGTGTAACAATAGTTGACAGATAACTAATGTGTCTCCATTACTTCAGAAGTTTCCATCACACCAAGCTCCGAGTCACAGGGGCACTGGCACCTGTTGGCCCCCCTAAAAACCGCCCATGCCTAATGTCATGGTGCATGAACAAACTTAAAATACCATTATTGGTGTTTGATATACAGTAGTAACAGAGTTTGTGTCAATTACTTTGTTACTATTTTTCTTTTATATTTGTAGTTACTTTGGCACAAGATAGAGAATAATAAAATAAGTCTGGGGTACATTATTTATGAAAAACATTGTTTTTATTGTATTTCTTAATATTTGTTGGGNAAAAATTGCCTTTGTGTGTGTTTTATATGATTATATATTACATTTCTAGATGATATTTTTGCATCAAGTAGAAATGTAATGTTGTTGACAAACAAAGTTCTGATTTACTTAAAAGAAATTCAATTCAGTACTCTTAAAGAGTCCACTAGTTTTAGTGATGCATTTTGTTTAAAGTAGCTAAAGCTGTTAAATAAATGCAGTGGAGTAAAGTTACATTATTTCCCTTTGAAATGCATCGGAGTAGAAGTACAACGTTGTATAAAACGGAAATACTCAAGTAAAGTACAAGTACCTCAACATTTTACTTAAAGGTCCCATGTAATTTCTACTGATCATAATTCCATTGTTGAGGTCTACTAGAATAGATTTACATTGTGCAATTTTCCCAAATCACGTCGGTTTCTCATACAGCATCTCTGTATAGTATGTGTATTCACTCTCTGTCCTAAACGGCTTGTTGGAGCTCCTGGCCCCCCCCCTGTGAGCCCAGCGTTCTCCTCCGGTTTACAGGTACAGTACTCAGTGTAAATTATATATATAGATAGAATAATTATGATGAGGAATGTATTTAAAAAAAAAAGTTGCTTAAGTTAAAGAGATAACAATACAATGAAAACCAATGACAAGGAAAAATAAGGCCAGAAATGATGTGGCACCTTATGTGAAAGACAGGTTTAAAAGATCTGTCTTAAGGACAAAAACAACAAAATTGCTTAGTGATATTTAAAACTGCTGTTTCATGTTTTTTTACAATTTTAAATAAGAATAAAACACATTATCCAGATCTGTAATTGTGTGTGTATTATACATATTTTCTCCACAAAAGGATATTCAACATACATGTATAAATATTTAACAAAAAACATGAAGCAAAAAAACATTCAATGACTTTTCCAAAACTCACCGTCATAGCAGTAGAAGGGTTTTTCATCCATGCAATTGTTGGAGCTCCATTTTCCATTTGACGTAGTCATAGTGCATGTCTTTGAGGCTACATCTTCCAATGAGTCCGGATCCCAGTGTCTGAAAGAGAAATTCTTCTCATCTGACCAACTCCAGATCTCTCTGAACAGGCCGATCCACAAGTCAGAAGAGCTATACTGATCGTTGAATTCTTCTGATCTGATCTGTGTGATTCCACTGACCAGGTCATTGTGATGTTCTCTGCAGTAGCTCTGAGCCTGAAGCCAGGTCTTTGGTTCATCCATAGAGAACCGCAGTGACGCGTCCTAAAACCCGGAAGTAAACTTCTTCCTGTTAAGGTTCGCGGAAAAGGTAGGACCCAAAAGCAGACTACAAAAAAGGTAAAAAGTCTATAAACAAAAGGCGAGCTTTATTCCAAAAGCTGATGGAAAATTACATAGCATAAAACACATAGAAGCACAAGGAAGATATTATACCAAAACTGACCGTGACTGACATGGAGGGAGACAGGAAAGACAAACAACGAACCGACAGGGGAACACAGGGAAAGACAAGACTAAATACAGAGAGGGGTAATCACAGGACGAGAAACAGCTGGGGGAGGTTTAAGAAACACAAGGGCAACAGGTGAACACAATGAGACAATCAGACACAGGAGGAAAACAAGAGACAGGGAGAACAGAACAGCAAAACAAAACCCATTACCAGACAGACAACACTAACACCGTGACAACACCAAGATTGTGACACTTCCGGTTCCTTCGACAAAAAAGCAATGCAATTTCTCCATAGGATTTTGGAAAATAGCTCGAAATAAGGTCTGTGGTTGACACACATTTAAGAGACGGATCACGTTTTGTTCAGCCGGATAATCTCCACATGTCTACCCTACTTTTATAATTTTGGAATCATAAATCTAATCGATAGATTTATGATCGATAGATTTATGACTAATTCCCATCTGATAACTAGAATATGTGAAATATATGTTGAGGAAAATATTGCAAACACAATAAACATGATATGAAAATGACTGAAAAGAATCACACTCACATCTCCTCAGTCATCCTGTGAGCTGATTCTCTCCGTCTCTCTCGATGTGCTGGTGAAGACTGAGATATCGACGAGGTCGCTGCTCTCTTTGAGCCACCTTTGGGCAAACATTTGAATATTGAAATTCAGATGTCAAAGAGGTCTATCATAATACATGATGTAACCAGAAAGAAAAAAGTTGAACACACTTCCCTTTTGACCATCTAACACGCAGAAAAAAAAGGTGTAATTCCAAAACAACTAGTAATAACATTTATATTTCTATATTCTAAATTGTTTTGTTTTGTACTTTAGTATATCGCTTGTTACCATGTGTCACACAACTATAATAAGACATTCTGGCTGTCAACATTACATTCATTTCAGTCATAGATTTTCATTCAGAAATAGCAAAACATTATCTTGTTTCTCAATATTCTTATGCCTTGGAAAACAAACCTGCGATTGGACTGACCCTAAGATAGATGACAGAGTAGCTACAATTCAAAACTTGGGAAAAATGTTTTACCCAGACCCTTAAAGCTCTGCAAAAAATGTTAAGATTGAATAACTAAATGTAACTAAAAGAAAAGTCAAGTTGGAGTCCATTTATTTGTCGACAAAAAACTTAAACTCAAGGCAATTGGAAAGTCATTGGGTTTAATGTACAATTTGTTTTAAAAGTATTTTAACTTTTTCCCAGTAACATTTAACATTGAAATCTTGTCTATGCACAAATAAATTCAACAGTAGAGCACATCATGCTTAGGCTCTGCACCGAGCAGAAACATCAATCAAGTGTTATATCACATGGCTGAGAAGAGACAAGTTAAATTACAGTTTAGGTCGTTTTAGTTATTCACTACATGAACTTTTCTCTCCTATTTATTTTCCAATTAAAAGTCCATATACACTGAGAAATTATTGCTAAAATTCATTAACTTTATCTCAATTGATGAAATAATTCAAATCTCCAGATTCATTAAATATTCTCAGATAATACACACTCACTAGTTTAAATTTTCAGCACAGATGAATCAGTATCTCTTTTAATGTATGCATCTATAAAATGTGATATATAGCATTGTAGGGTTGCAGATAGCTGTGTGTCTGATATGGTAAAATTAGGAAGTGAGGACATTTTCTACAGACATGGAGGTAAACTGCTACATGGTAGTTCGGGGATAATAGTGCAAGGCGTTAAATCTCATTTTTGATTTATTGTAGGAGCCTTTTAGTGTTCTTAATGGCATACAATGTATCCAACTAGGATGTTCAAATAAAATGCAGGCATTTTATACACAAAAAAACTGAACAATATAGTAAGGTGATTATACTTAAGTTCAAGATCGGTAAAAATGTATAATCTTGCATAAGCAACAGTTTTGAGAATACAATTTCTCAATACAAAGAGGACCAAGTATAGGCCCCTGTGGGACACTTAAAAAAGCCTTAAGAGTACTTGATATGAAATGATTGGAAACTGCTGCCTGAATTCTGCAAGAAAGAAGGTGATAAAAACACTTATTTAGCTGTTTATCTAGGTACACGGATAGTGTTTCAGGTCAATTATTAATATATATATATATATATATATATATACACAGTATGCATACATAATATTGTAGGGATCTCGAACACATCTTATGTGCGTGATTGTATTTAGATAATTTCTGATATTCATTGAATTTTCTTAAACCTTTAAACAGTTTGTTTCAAATGTTGTTTATGTACATCGACAAGTAACAAAAAGGAACAACCTTGGTGAACGACTAGATACGCATTATAAAAACATTAACTTCCATAAAGTTACCATCTCATTGATATATATTGCTGCAGACGCAGCCACTTAAAAAAAGCCTTGTCAGACTAATGTTAAGGTGCCTATAGGAAAACAATAGTTTTGCTGGCGACAGGTTTCTAGTGACAAGTCCAGGTGTTATCAGTTTAATCAATAACACAACTTATGCTTTTGTAAGAAATGTGTGCATACCATTTGACAATTTTTACATGAACATACTATCTTATGTCAGACTCTTTCTGTCTTTTTTTTCATCGTCAGCTGTTGACTAATATGCATTGTCATTAGCATGACCCTGAAGAGGATCTTGAATGCAAGTAACTGTGTGGTTTGAATCTTCCATTGCTACGTATTATAACTTTAAATCTGTACATTCTTCACAATGTTTGCTTATTAGGATACATCAAGTCTCCATCCTTGTAAGACAGAATTTATTGGCAGTAAAAAGTGATGACGTTCTGCTGGTTTCCTCGTATCAGCACCACGGGGCAGTGGAGGCCACAGGTCAGAGTATCCAGCCAGGCCATGTACAGAGCACTGGGGCAGTCGCTGTGAGGCACAGGAAGGCTCCTGGAAAAAAACATCACATTTGCATGAACATATCAGAACTGCAAAACAAGAACAAAGACTGCTCTTACTTGACGTAGGAGGAACAATTAAATGAGAGCACGCTATGGTTTGCAGCACACCTAAAAAGAACTATACTTTCCCGCCTATCTGAATCATGTCCTAATGCTGATAAAGAGGCCTGAATACATGTTTCAACTACTGTATATTTGTGTATGCATTTATATACTGATGTACTGTGTATTTATATACTGATGTACTGTGTATCTATATACTGATGTACTGTGTATTTATATACTGATGTACTGTGTATTTATATACTAATTTATTTATTATTATTTTTTATTACAGTTTTTTTTTCATCCTGAAACTGGATGAGTAACTGGAGGGCTATTTTTCTTTATAAGCTATGTTTTCTGCACTCCCACTTAAAATGTCAGATTTTTTTTTTTAAATGCTCACGTGGACCTAATCCTTTCCGAAATATCCCAAAAAGTAATATGATCGGAAAATGGTCATTTAAAGTGTGGCCTTCGTTCAAAGCATGAGAAATCCTAATGATTCAGCATACATTACCGCTTGAATGATCTCTAATAACATGAAGTGATAATCTAACTTTGTACTCACACGAGCACAAGAGCAGCATGTTGAGAATTCCTCCGGATAATTTCATTCAGCCTCACTTTTCTCTCAGTCTGAAGGGATACAAAATTATTTTTCAGTGTATCGCAGCGGATGACACCACTCAGAATCAAATTCTGCTTTATTGCCCAAGTATGTGCAATCAAGGATATGAACTCTCCTTTCTTCATTGCTTCTATAGTATACTCATACAAATACAAATAGAATAAACATGAATATAATGTACACAATGTTGAAAGATTACAACATAAAGGACAGCTTTATGTTGCACATGTTGGAAATAGTTTTATTATCACACAAACCTTAAGTTTAAAGGCCTCAAACTCTTTTTCTGATATTTTCCATGGGGCACGTTTTCTCTGTTCTTGAGTTGAGACACCTTCCTGCTGTTCATCATGTAGCATGAAGGGGGCAACACTGTCCACAAATCTACTCAGGCTTGGAAGAAGTAAGAATAAAACAAAAAAAAACATGAAAAGCCTGTTTAATTAAAACCAGTTTTAAAGAGTGAGCTTTCCTCTGTCAGGTTAAGTTTTCCACGTTTTGACAAGCGTAGGACAGCAAATGCAAAGGTTTCTGCCGACATACTTCTTTGAGTTTGGACGCTTTTCGCTGTCAGTCATGACTGTAACGTCGTGGATATCCAAACGAAACTTCTTCAGAAGAGCGATCATCCTGAAAGAGACAACATTAAAAGTTAAATGCAACAGTTGCCACAGATATTAATGCGTTCTGATCATCAAGAAATCTATTCCAAACCGTAATACATACACATAACATATGGAGTTTTATTTTTTGTGGGTGAATCAATATATCATGGTCATTACAAAGTTCTCACTTTGGAAAAGTTGAGGAAAACAATTAAGTGAATGGTCAAGAATTCAAAGTTATTTGACTAATAAGTCTTGACATTGAATTCAGATAGGTGCATTATGCATTCTTTTGTCGCTCAAGTAGAAAAAAGCACATAACACTTTTTTTTCTTTTGGTGTTGTGCTATGCATCAGGGTAGGGAGTTATCATGTGCTCACCAAACACTTGTGAAATAAGTTTAGTTATTATTCTATCATTCTGTAAAAAAAAGAAAACATACTCGTTGCGGCCTTCCTCCATGTTTTGTTCATCTCCCACGATGAAGACCCTGACCTTACTACGATGCCAGCGTTTCCTCCTGGTGAGCAGGTAGGGCACTAGCAGAGTCAGACCTTAAAAAAGGAGAAATACTGCAGATAAGAAATAATAGCCATGTTTGCAGTCCAGTGTCAGACACAAAGATTGCTCCTTGTATCCACTGACCATTTTTGTACTTAATGACAGTAAATAACTGTAACTTTTTCTAAAAACAGATGTTACGGTATATCCATTATCAATCATTTTATAAGTGCCTTTTGACACATTTAAACAAGTGCACATATTTTGCTCCAATCTCACCCCCATCGTCAGCTATCCAGTAGACATCAATGGTCTTCTTCCCCTGGTCATTCTGAAACACCGTCTTAATCTGATCAGTGTCGCCTTTATAGGAGATGTTGTCAGCTGGAACAGCAAGAAGAGTGAGGTGCAAGAGCAAATATTGTAATCATGAGTGACCCCTTGACATTGTCATTATTGGTATTAAAGAAATGTATATCATAGGTGTTAAAAGAAAATCGTATCTCCAATGATGTTGTGCAGTACATTGTAGTGTTATGTCAGATATCTGTGAATGACTAGAGGAGTGTGTCAGTAAAAACATAAATGAGTGATTGAGAAAGGGAAGGACTATGTAGTACGTTATTAACACTCCTTAAAATAAAATATAATAACTTGCATTTCAAACTGACAAACTGCCAGACGTGTCATAGGGTCAAACCATACTCAGTTCAGTCGAATAAGTTCTAGAGTTAAAGTTGTGGAGTGCTATAGATGGGACCCTTCATGGTCATTTTCAAGTTCTATTTGTGTTCTTACTAGAAAAACAATTAAGCAATCATACACGAGAGGCCGTTCTTGAACGTACATTATTGGTACGACAGTACTGCGGCAGGACCGA